GCACTTATGAAAGACCAGGTTGTTCAGGGCCAAAATGAACGCAATAGTGAGAACTAAACTGTATCTGGGAATATACTGTGTGAGTTCTATTGTCTTGATTTACACAAACGGCTGAACAATTCAGGACATCATGTTCATTGGTTAGCTAGTAAATCCGATAGTGTCTCACAAGGGAAGGTTCAAAGCCAAAAGCTACCTATTCTTTGCAGAATATTTCCAATTTCTATACTCTCTATAATTAGATCATGTTGTTGCATTTTCTCTCCGTCAAATTCCATTCATGTGGGGGATTGTTGGAAAAATTGGTTTATTGGGCTTATTTTGGGCCGACTTTGAGCCCAAAATTGAGTGGGCCGCGAATGTCTTTTGGGGCCGGTCTGAAGAGGTGAAGTGTTCCTTGCTGCGTGGCAAGTCACACGGTGAAGACGGTTCGTCAAAACCATTTATGAGTGAATGGAAAGTTGACGTCGTTTTCGGGTTCGTGGAATTGAACATGTAAGTTTTAAAAGTGGGTTTCCTTGTGAGGCTTGTCCCACATTGAAACTTTAAGAGAGTTTTGTTGAGTATATAAACTCTAGCCTACAACACTTGGGTTGGGCCGCAAGGGGCACCCCAAGTTTGTAGAAGGGAGGAGTTATGGACAAAGTGAACCTTGACCCAAACCGCCACACACGTGCGCGCACCGCCGCCGTCCGTCTGTCTGGCCGGGCCGTACCAGGCGCGGGTGTGGGTTGTGGGTTGTGGGTCGGGTCGGTTCTAATATTAATTTTTCGGACAAAATTCATTTGAATTTTTTAAAAAATTATTACAGGAATTTAATTCAAATTTGAATTTAAATTTTTGTCCAAACAAACTTTTTCCTGTCTAAATATTCCACAACAGATTTTCAGTTCAAACAGTTTTTCTAACTGTTTAAAATCGGACATATTCTTAACTGTCTAGACAGATTCAAATCTGGACAGTTTTGTTCCAAATTTGTTTGAAGTTTGAATGATATCTATTCACTTTCAACACTGAATCTGTTGGACAGATTTACACTTGTTCGAACAGTATTTTTTGTGCCTATAAATACCAACATTCCAGCAGTGTTAGAGGATCCGAAAATTAGTCTGCAATTTATGCTTTTGCTGTCCAGATTTTATTCTTTGTATTTTAATCTTCATTCTAGTTTTAGAAATAAAATAAAGAGGGTATAAGAACACAGGTTCTAGTTCGCCGTACAAATTTGTGTGGAGTGCTACTACAAATTTGTGAAGATCATTGTATCCTGAGAGATAGACGCCATTAGTCCGTAAGCACCGAAGCGGGGCGAATCTGTGTTAAGGATAGAGTGTCACACACTCGACTTGGTCTTGAATTTTCTTTTAATTTGGTTCAATAAATAATTTTGATACGTTATTTATTTATTTGTTTGATTTTGTTTTTATTTATTTTATTTACACAGAAGATTGTTCTAACAAAATTTGACTCGTGTTTAGCTTGTAAAAAGTTCATTCGCGGTTGACTCATATAAACAAGTCAAATATTAACATCCTTTGAAACTTATTAAAGTTTCAAACTCAATTTGAATAAATCTATTACTCAACTCCACTTGGGTCTTTTGCAATCCCTTAGGGCTCAAAACACATTAGTTAATTTAGGAGAGTGAAGCAAAATGGTTTAAAGTCTAGAAGCATTGCATCATCAAATTCACCTACCAGCCTTGAGGTCAATTATAATTCAAGATTCCAAACTTCAAATTATTTTTGTAGTTTTAAAAACTTTAAAACATTGTCATCTTTGTTGTTGCTATTTTTTCTAGTAAGTATTAATTGTTGACCTTCGCAAATAGGTATTTCTTTTTTAAAATAATTTTATTTTTATGATTTTACTGTATCTTATTATTTGAAATCCAAATATTAATAAAAAGACATTTCATCAATACACATTCATCCACATTCAAACCAAATATTAATTCGAACAAATGTAGTTAATTCAAATCAATCCATCATTTCTTCATTCACATCACAATACTAATAAAAAATTCGTTTAATCAATACAAACTACAATATAAAATTATAAGTATTAATTACATAACAATCTAAAACTAAAATTTGGATGACAACCCAAAAACCATAAACAAAATTATCCGAAGGCAAAATACTTTCAAAATGAATTTCTTTTTTTTTTTTTTTTTGTGACGGTTCAATTTGTGTATGAGAATAATATGTTTTTACGTGGCAAATTAGTCAACCCATCAAATAGGTCTTTTTCTAAGATAGATATAATTTTATAAGACTTATAATTACTTCTGTAAAATCATGTCTGTTAATATATTTTGTATCTGATGTGTGTTTAGTTTGTATATTTCTAAATTTATTGTTTTTATGTGTGATAAGGATGAAGAAATGTGATGCTCCATGGGATGTTTAATGGGTGAGACTTTCAGAAATGATTCACACGGTGGCTGTAATAAATATGTTTGGATTTTTTGTGTGTGCTCCATGCTTCATGAGTATATACACCACTAAAATCAAATAAGTATTAATTGTATAATACTAAAATCAGGGAGAATCTAGTTAGATTTTGGATCTCTCAATTAAAGAGGAATAAAATTACTTATACAACACTGACTCATATTTATAAATAGAATTTTATTTTGACAAACACATTCATTTCTTCTAATTTTTTTGTTCCAACAAAAAAGAGAAACTTTTTAGCTTCTACTTCTTTTCTTCTTTTTATTTTTTTCCTCCTTCACAAATCTAGAATCTAGACCCAACTTGAAATCATTTTGCAATTACTTTTGTTTTATTTTTATTTTTAGCTAGTTTAGAGTATTAAAGTATTATATACCATCATTACTACATACCATTGTATAAAAAAGTGCTTTTGTCATTAACAATGGGTTTCACCATGAAATGCATCATGACAACTGCCAATGAACAATAATTTTACCACTACTATTATTGAAACAATTGCATTAATCACTATAGGCTTCAATTACCATCCAACATGGCTTCATACATTAAACATCATGAGCTATGTCATGGAACTAGGTTTCAATTAGTGTGTGGACCCATTTCTTTGTTAAAGGCAATGATATGATATCTCTAATTACTGCAGCTTATTTTAGAAAGTAAGAAAAAAATTAATTTTTTAAATTTTTTTTAAAAAATGTGTAAAAAAATAGAGAAGTAATGTGACTCAAATAAATTAATAAATTGATTTTTTTTTGTTAATTGTCAAAATAAGTAGTAGTGTAATTGTGTGTAGTATTATTTGGTGCATATATCAATCAATTCTTGTGGACTTTGACAACTGCATCCAATTGTATGGCACACCAAGCAAGTTGAAGTTTTTTCCACAGCATAAAAATGATTTCAAATTTGACCCAAATGTTAAGAGAATTAGTGGCTTATAAAGGGAATTTAGCATAGCCTTTCCCTTGCAATGTTATAGTATGTATAAAGTAAAGGGTGTACATTGGTCAGGCCGGATGAGGCTCAACCATTGTACTAATTGATAATTTTTTTTATATTTGTTTAAATTCGACCTAATTCAAACACCAGTCTTATATGATTATTCCAAGCCCAATCCTAAACAAAATATAACTTCCAAACTCACCAACTGGTCTATTAAAAATAACCAATTTTTTTCAAACATTCCAATACACAAAACCATAATATTTAAAAACTAAATCTAGAGCCATAATAGCTAATTAACAGCGGGTAGAGTCATGGATTTTAAAAATTAAAAAAAGAAAAGAAAAACTATAAACACATTCTTTGATTTTGAATATCTTTAATTGAATTAATTAGATGGATTTTTAGCTTTTAAATACTTGCAAATTATATCTACAAGTGCAAAGAAAATTTGAAAAAATAAAAAATAAAAAAATTGTATTTTCAAAATTTTTAAAAGTAATTTTCGAAAAAAAAAACTATCTTGTCTTCTATATTTGATTTTAATCATTATTAAGTAAAAGTTTGAATTTAACCACTATCCAAATCCAACCATTAGGTGTGATTTTTGGATATGATATCTAAGAATTATTTATTTATTTAATTTTTATTTTTATTTTATCTTGTACCACTTAAAAAATTCAAAATCTCCCTCCCCAAGTTGGTTTAAGCTTTTGGCTTCTTCCGTTGTGACACAACCAAGTGGGGAGCATCTATTTACACACACACCTCTCTCTATACACATCCTCCACACACAACTCTCTAACACACTCTCTCATTAAGTGTGTGAGAAAATAGGATATAGTGTGTGCAAATAGAAGCTCCTAACCAAGTGTCGTCCCAGTATCTTCTAACCTTAAAAAAGGCAAAAATTACATTCATAATAAAACATTTAAGAAAATTTATTATTGTTATTAATTTTTTCAAAATGCACACTAATAGTCTCGTTTGAGAATAAATTATTTTGGTAATTTTTTAATTAAAATATAAAATAAAAAAATTATTATAATTACAATAATTTTTTAATTTTTTACAAAAAAATATGCAAAAAATAAAAAGAAAAAGAAAATTTTGACTTTTTAATGTAAGTTATTTACTTTTTAATTTTTTTAACTTTTAAACTAAACCAATGAACTGTCAAACGAGGGTGATAAACAAACTAAATACTTCAAGAAGTTCGTTAGAATTTAATACGTTAGGTAAAACAAATAAAGTTTAAATACATTTTAAAATTCGTTAAAAATTTCAAATTAAACTTAAATAACCAATTGTTTATTCGGTTCGATTTGATAAATTTAAAATTATATAAAAATATTAAACTATTCAAATTCATCGTAACAAAAATTCGTTTGAGATTGATTTAATTAACAAAAAGTTTTACCCAATTTAATCCGGAAGTTAATCATCCCCGTCACTATTATGTGTACGTCATATTAATTAAGATATTTAAATAAAAAGCTCGCAAAAAAATTTAAATTTAAAAAAATAAATAAATAAATAAGCCGTAGAGGAAGACAACTATAAGAGCATCCAACTTCCCACCATCTGCCCGATTTGTTCTCTCTCTCTCTCTCTCTCTCTCTCGTCCAAGACGGAGCAAAGCACCACCCTATATAATATATATGGACCCACCGCCACCTGCTCCGCCACTCTCCGCCGCCGCACCAACGAACTTCAGCTACCCCGACTCAGTCGAATCGTCCCCTCGCTCCCGCAACACCGATTCCTGGGACGACCACCAGCACTCGCCGGCCGTCCCCGTCTCCGGCGGCGGCGGTGCGAAGCTCCGCCTGATGTGCAGCTACGGCGGCCACATAGTTCCCCGGCCTCACGACAAGTCCCTCTGCTACGCCGGGGGCGACACCCGCATCATCGTCTCCGACCGGCACTCTTCCCTCTCCGACCTCACTCAGCGCCTCTCGAAAACCCTCCTCGATGGCCGATCCTTCACTCTCAAGTACCAGCTTCCAAACGAAGACCTCGATTCCTTGATCTCCGTCAGCACCGACGAGGACCTCGAGAATATGATCGAAGAGTACGACCGCCTCACCCTGAAATCCTCCCGCCTCCGCCTCTTTCTTTTTCCTTCGAAATCCGATTCGGGTTCCTCAATTGGGTCCCTCTCTCTCCTCGAGAACTCCACCAAGTCCGAGGACTGGTTTCTGAGCGCACTCAATGGCTCCGCAAGAGGCTTCTCTGAATCGGCCTCGGTGAATTGCTTACTGGGTCTCGACGACGACATTGCGATCAATGCTGCCACGGACTCATCGTCGGTGAAAGAGTTGGACTCATCAGCATCACAGCTCGAATCGAATTTCGGCAATGTCAAGGGAGTGAATAGTAATAATAATACCAATAAACAAGTCGCACAGGATGTTCATTCGGTGCCCGATTCGCCTATGTTGGATACCATGTCTTCGTTCGGGTCGTCTGCTTCGTCGCCGTCGCTAGCGAACTTGCCGCCGATTCGGGTTCACGCGGAGGATCAGAGGGCGGCGCTGGGCGGAATTGAGGAGCAATTCTCTCAGTTGAGTGTTGGTGTTGGTGTTGGTGTTGGTGTGCAGAAGCAAGATGATGGTGGCTTTTCAGTTCTGACCACTTCTCCGGCGCCGGCGATGGCTCTGGGTTCTGCTGGGATTCATGGTGAGTACTCGAATCGGGTTTTGTTCGAGGATGAAAGATCAGAACAGGGATTGCCAGTTGGGTATCGAAAGCCACCACAATCACAGCCTCTACAATTGCAGTCCAAACCAACTGCTGGTGTTGATTTGGCTTCTCCAGATTCAGTTTCAAGGTACCCAAGATTCTTTCTTGTTTTTCTTTCTTTCAATTAGTTTGTTTGTGCTGAGTAGATATATGATTTTTGATCTTGTGCGGAAATGAAGTTGTAAAATTGTTTGAAATTTACAGTGATAATAGTACAACATCAAACACATTGTCTCGCCAAAGAGCGATGATTTATCAAGATCCAGTTATTCAAAATCCCTCTGGGAACAGCAGGGTTGCCGTCTACCCTGCTGATCCCAAGTTATCTGATCCAAACTCTAGGGTTCAGATGCAACAAGTTCAAGATTCTTCATTTGTATTGCAAAACCTAATTGATCAACAACAACTATTGAACCATCATCATCAACAACAACAACAATTGAATCATCAACAACAACAACAGCACCAACAACAACAACAGCAGCAACTGAATCATCAACAGCAGCAGCAACAACAACAGCAGCAACTGAATCATCAACAGCAGCAACAACAACAACAGCAGCAATTGAATCATCAACATCAACAACAACAATTCATTCAGGCCGGGGCTCATTACATTCAACATCACCCTCCTGGGGCAATGCCAATCTCATCTTTCTACCCCATGTACCCTCCCCAACAACAGCCCCTCCATCCCCAACACTCTCTGGATCAGCAATACCCTGTGTTTTATATGCCTGCTAGACAAGCTCAAGCTTATAACTTGCCTGTCCATCAATCAAATTATAGCGAAACCGCCGCAAGCATCCCTTCTAGCCGGCCCCAAACACCTCCACCTCCTTCCATAATCCCTCCCTCTGCTGCTTACAGTGCTGCCCGAATCGCTCCTCCTCCTAAACCCGAAATGGCCACAGGCATGTACAGAACATCAACTGTGGCTGGTCAAGCACTTTCTAGTCAGCATCAGCCGCAATATGTTGGTTTCTCTCAGATTCATCATCCCTCTCAATCTATTGCCCCTAATTCAGCAACTACTACTAATTATGGTTATGAATTTGCGGATCCTGCACATGCCCAATTGTATTATGCTCAGCCTATGGCTTCCCAGTTGGCTGCTCAATATCAAACCATGGCATCGAACCCTGCAGTGGTGTTGCCTGAAACTTCTGCCCAACTTCCCGCAGACAATGTCAAGCAGCAAATTAGGACTTCACAGCCATGATAGGTGAGTTGAGTTGGGAAGGAAGAAACAATTTTGCAGCAATGGGTGTGGTTTATGTTTGAATTTTCTATTATAGTCTGTGTCTTGTTATTGGTATTGGTTTGTGCTTGTGTATTTGCGATTGGTAATAAGAAACTCAGGTTTTTATTAATTATTGTTGTCGTCTTTGTGAAATAGAATGAAATTCGTCTGAGATCATACTGTAAAAGCTCCAACTCATATATATTGAGTCTGTTCAGTCTTTCATCACTTTCGAATAAAATGTAATATATTCTAGCTAGAGCTCTGACTAAGATGTCCGTTTGGTTCATGAGAAATTGCATGTGCATATACCTTGCCTTTTTGCACATAAAATGTTGGAGAGGGATCATTTAGGCTTTGTTTGTTTGATGTTTTGTTTGAAGAACTTTTCTGACTGAAATTGATGTAAACATAATGAAGTATTATTCTACAAATTTGGTTTCAACTGCATTGAGAGAGAGAGAGATAGAGAGAATTGAGGAACCATCTCCCATATGCAATAATTTTTTTCGAATTCATGAATTAGACATCCGTTTAGGGCATATCCTCATTGCTTCTTCAAACAGATCTTTATCAGCCCTAATTTTGTGCTCATGGCCTAACTACTTTACCAAAGATTCTCTCTTCCTCTATTTGTGATGTGTCGAAGTTCTTATTTTCTAGTTTGGTGGCACTAGATGCTCCCGTCTGAAATTGCTCATACCTTTTAACATTAACATGAGCCTAATTGAATGGCCTTTACAGTTATCGTCAATAATATTCTTAAAGCAACACAAAATTGTAGAAGCAGTCGTAGAAATGAATAATGGGTTAATTAAATGAAAGTGAACCACTTCTCACCATTTCCTCATCGCATCCCCCATCCCATTCGGTCGAATACTTAAATAGACATTAGGTGTGTATTACTCATTCTTCGTCACCATTGGCGTGCGAGTAATCACAGTTTTACTTACTTGACTGGTTCATCTCCCACTCTCCCCCCACTCCAAATACATTTCTAAATCTTGTGTTACTGTGACTCACTCAATCCTTTCTTTTCATTGTATTTTAAAATTTGCAACTGCACTCTGATCTTAGTGATTTAAACTATGTCGGTGAACAACTAGGTGTTTGAGGCCTGGGTTTAGGGGTTTGCTTCCTCTAGGTGTTTGAGGCCTGGGTTTAGGGGTTTGCTTCCTCTTGGTCTCAGGTGTGCTTCTCCCAATCAATATAAAACTCTTGATGCCACGGACCGGAGGGACACTTATTTCGAAAGGCTTGCTTGGATTGTAAGGACTTAGTCTAGTGCGCAAAAGCTGGCCCAAGATATTCTACATAACAAAAAAAAACAAAAAAAGAAAGGAAATGCACAAAGGACAAGACATCTGGTGTTTACTGCTACCTTATTTTGATTGGAATTGAATTGTGTTTCACATTTCTTTAGTCTTGTTACAGCTTCTTCATGCTTGTTTGTGGCCATGGTAATTTGTTTATTAACAAAATGATATATACTAAAATTCATTTTTTCCCCTTTTCAAAATGCAACTATTATCTCCTGCATTTTGTAGTTGATATGCTTTATATGCTAGACTATCTTTAGTTTTTGATCTCTATGCGCTTAGCCGTTCTTTTTCCTCCATAATCCCCTGACATGCGAGCCATCCATTCCTTTGTCCTTAATAATCCATTTCTTCGTCTTAAGCTACGCTACCTAGACTCCGCAACAACGATAGACAAAAATAAATAAATAAATAATACTAGTTTGAAAATATTTTTTAAATAATCTAAAACATTTTTTTATATACAAATGCCAATATTAAGCAATGCTCTAAAGCACTCATGTGCATTTGTCAACCTGGGAATACCATTCTCCTCGTGGTATTAAATTAACTAAATTGGAGGAGCAATTCAAGGCAAACCCATGTTGTTTGATGTTTGATAGAATGTCTAGTATTGGGTTTTGGGGTTAACCCCCCTTTACATGTTAGTTGACCACCACCACCAGCCCTTTACACGTTAGTTGACCACCACCACCACACACACACACACACACACACACACACACACACACACATTAACATCAAGAGTGTCCCTTGTCACATAGTTAACATAAATTAGGTTTATTTCTAATGAAAGCATTTTCTTTGTTTTGATACATTTTGTGTTCAGTATTGTTATTTTGTTAATTCAACAAAAAGCTGGTAAAAGTATGCAAGGAGATAAATGAGTTATGTTGAATCGAGCAGTAAATTGCTTAAGTTTAATTTAAAATTTTAACGAGTTTTAAAATTGTGTACAAGTATAATTTATTTATCTTTTAAGCCAAATTCAAATAATATAGCTTTTTTATATATAATTCTAAGTAAGTATAGGTTTATTAAACTGCATTTTAAAAATTAATGAGTTTCAAATTGTCCTTAAACATGGTAATTCCTTCAAATTGATCTCAAGTACTGGTTCAAAAAAAAAAAGAAAAAGATCTCAAGTAAGTTTTTAAAATTGAATATAAATCAAACAGTAATACTCTAAATTTAGATTTAATTATTTAGAAATAATTAAGAATTATTATCTTCTATATATAAATTTCACACTATATAAATTTAATTTTCACCACACAATGACCCACCTAAATAATTTTAAATGGATAAGTCATAATTTTAAATGAGTAAGTTGGGGACTGTAGCATTTTTCCAAATCAAATTAGTATTTGATTTGATTTATATTCTAATTTTAATAAACATGAGTGGAACAGGAATAATTTAAGGTTCCGGACTGTCACCGGTCCAGATTTGAGACAGTCTGATTCAGTTCGGCCTATTAAGCTTACTTTTGGATCCTTTTTCAATAATCAGCACCGTTCATATTTTAAGATTTGTTGATTACATTATTTCTATAAAAAATCATGTCGATCGGGTAACGGATACTATGTATTTGGATCACTTTTGTCTAGAAAAAAACAAACGGTAAAGAAATTAACAGTTCATAACAAAAAAATCTGAATATATAGTATCCGTTATCCGATCAACGTGATTTTTTACAGAAAAAATATACTAAATAAATCTTAAAATATGAATAGTTTAAATTATCAAAAAAGTACCCTAAAATGAACTCAATAGACCAAAGTGGACCCTCCAATCCACATGGTGGACGGAGGCAAGCCCAGCCATAATTTAATATGTTTTTTTGGATGTATATATATATCAAATCAAATCAATTAGGTGCATTTATCAAATCAATTAGGTGTATATATGTATATACAAAGTGATTAGAGAAAAAGTATATATCCAATCAATTAGGTGTATGTATGTATATACAGAGTGGTTATAGAAAAAGTTTGGACAAAAGTGCATTACAGTGATTAATTAACAGGATAGCTGAGTAGATGAGTTTTGACCCATGTATATACTAGAATCAATGTGACTACAAAAATACTCTGCCTTAGAAAGCACTGTAAATTTAATATATTCGATCACTGATTCTCATGTGAATGTGCACTGACACAGTGCTTTTATATTCTGTTATTTTTAATATATGTATATATTATATTAAACTACTTACTACTACTACTACTAATTAGTGATTGAAAAAATAGCGTAAGATGTGTACGAGGTTTGTGCAATTTTGCCAGCAATGACAGGTAGAGAGATAGATTCCATCGGTAAAAAGTGTTTTTCGAGTGCAAAAGCTGCATACTCCATTTCCATATTTCTGCAATTTTTGGACGGCCTGAGCAATTCGAGTTTGGTTTAAATTTTTTTAATAATTAAATAATATATATTTAAATTTAGTGTAAGCTTAGATAGAAATTCAATAAAAACTTGATTTAAACATAGACAGTCTTAAGCAAAGACACTAAACAATAGGAGCAATTCAACATTCAAATTGTATATATAAATTCTCAACTGTTAAATCATGTTACAATAATTTTAATCGTTAGATCATATTCATTATATATATTATATAAATAGGGGTTGACTTCTTTCTAGTCCAATGTTGGCTTCCCTTCAGTCCGTGATCGGACTAGAATGTACTGTTGGGACTGTGGAGATTCATCACGGGTCCCGTTTCGATAATCTAAACTGTTGAATATGTATAACTTGTCGAGTATTATATGACTGTAAAAAAATTACATTGATCGGATATCGATCGCTACGTGATCAATCAGTTTTGTATTAAAAAAAAATGAACGGTGAAAAAATAAATAGTTGATAGAAATCTAATTCAATGAGATAGCTATCGATATTCGATCAACGTGATTTTTTACAAACATATATTATTTGACGAGTTCTACACATTGAAAATTTGAATTATCAAAACAGAACTCATGATGGATCCCCACAGTCTCAACAGTAGTTTCTAGTCCGATCACAGACCGGAGAGAATCCCAACCCATATAAATAAGTAGCAAGACACAAAAACTTACATTTTAAAGTACTTTTTTAACCACTAACCCCCCCATCCCAAAAAAAAAAAATTATTTTTATTTTTCTTACTGTGATATTATAAAAATCACCGCGGCGACATCGATATTTTAATTTTTAACTTTCTTCTCTCTATCGCTATCACATTATATAAATTATTTGTTTTGATATTATTAATAATTTATAAAAAAAATATTGAGTCTAATTTTAACAAATTAATCAACCTAATTGTGCAAAAAGAAAAAAAAATATATATATATATATATATATTATATATATATATATATATATATATATATATAACTTTTGGATAATTTGGATAACTCAAACAATTTATGCCTAATTTTTTTACATATTTATTTTTCTTCATCTCTATCGATATCTGATCAAACTAATTTTTACATATATGTTTTTCTTTTTAAAACTTATGAGATGAACAGTTTGGATTATCGTCATGAGCCTCACGAAACCCATAAAATAAAGTCTCAAGGGATATACTCCAATAACATGGTGCAATTTTTACTATATCAAATACACTTCAACATTTATTTTAAGACATGCTTTCCATTAATTTCAATATCAAACAATGCTCCAGGTGCACTAATTAATATTTATCTTCTTCTTTTCTTTTCTTTTTTTTAAATAGTCTTTTCACGTTCAATCAAGTGGGATTGGATTAGCAAACTCAACTCTTCCATAAGAATTCACTTTCCACTTTCCACTTTCCAAATTATAACTCACTTCCCTCTCTCACAAAAAGCTGATTATAATCAGTTACCATCTTTCTAAAATATTCCATAATTTACACATCATTAATTTTACATTACCATCATACCATACCTTTCGAGGTAAAATTTGAAATAATTTTTAATGATTCATTATATTTGTGAAAATAGTTTCACCCGTGGCAGCCTCATGTTTGATGAGAAAGTACTCACAGCTGACTCGGCTCCCCATCACCGCCACGCCAACATCGTCTGTCTTTTGTCTTAGGGGATACTTCCCATTTGGTACAAATCTAATAAGAGAGTACTTCTCCCTTTCAAACTTCTTTCAAGTTCTTTTTGTTTTGTTATTTTAAGCAAATTTTTACCTAACCCCCACTCCCAATATATATATATATATAAATAATGATGATGATAATGATTTACTAAAGAATAAAAGTACTAAACAAAAAAAAAAAAAAAGATTTTTCTATTATAAATATTTATTCTTTTTTTTTTTTTTAAATTCTAACCTTACCAAGAGATTTTTGAAAAAAATAAAATTTTCTTGTGATTTCATTTTTTTGACCTATTTTTTCTCTCCTTTATATTCTTCCTCTATGAATTCATGATCTAAAGAAAAAGCAAGGTATGAGAAACTGATATTTTAGTTTATTTGTTATGAAGTGTTATTTTTTATTCTTTTCTTCCCAATAAATGTTTGTTTTGTGACATGTCTCGAGTTAAAGATCCTCTCTCTCTAAAATTTTTGTGTCTAATGTAATCTAAATCATACAATATCGTAAAAATCTCGAGAGATAATCGTGCGATTGAAATTTTATTCAAAACAAAGGTAAAGTATTTTATACCCACGTCTTATATATATATATATATATATTGAGGTTCAAACAAGTATGGCGGCCTTCGAGAGGAACTAGAGGGATTGAAGAATCATTCTAGTGTTTAAAATTGTTTAATTTTTAGTTGTTGCATTTTGAGTAATGATAGCACCCTTTTGATGAACACCAAGAAGAGAAGAGAAGAGAAGAGAAGAGAGGCCTTTTGCCTTTTGTCTTTTGTCGTCTTCTTCTTCATACAGAAAGAAAGAGAAGTGGGAAATAATTTGCGTGGCTTCAACGATCAAATAAACCTTACTTTGTCAGGTTTTGCTTTTGACCCCTAATTAGTCATTTTCCAATCAATACCCATCAGCATTTTAAGCCACAATTCAGGCCAAGTTTGGAAAGACTAAAATAAGTGCACTTTTTGACTTTTTATAAAATATGGGTTGGATTTGAGTTGGGTTTGAAGTGATGTGTTAGAGAGGTGATGTGACTTAAATAAGATGATGTGACTTAAATAGGATAGTGACTTTTTGACTTTTTAAATTTTTTAGAGAATGCCAAACTTGGCCTCAATAACACATTCGTACGAGTTGGTTCAATTCATGTTTGATACTTGGGGACATTTTGGGAAGGTGGATATGAGTGAGATTAATACTTATTTCAAATAATCAACAAGTCAATTTTTTTTGCGTAGAAAGTCATTTGAAATATATATGAGGGTACAATGGAAATTTTATAATTTTTACAAATGATGTGACACTCTATTATAATAATTTCTAAAAAAAAAAATATTTAGCACTTCTCAAATGCATTTATGAAAAAATCAAAAAGCCACAAAATAAACAAAAAATTATTTATTTTCATCTTCTCAAAACACCCCTTAATTCTATAAATAAGTCTATTTCCCTGTTCATTTATTTTGTTAGTTTAACATAATTTGGATATGCTATTTTGAAGTCAATCTTTTAGGAATAAGACTACATAGTTGTGGTTCATTTACAAGAATAGCTAATTGAATTTAAGAAAGTCTCTGACAAATATAAACATAACAGAGGGCATAAAAACAATTCATATAAGCCGGCAAGAACCATGTGAATCACTACACTACTTGATTCAAATGGTTCAAACACACACAATACTATTCATATATATATATATATATATATATATATATATGTTATAAAAGGGTAAAATATGATGTTTTGAAAAGTTCATAAAAAGCCGACTTTTTGATTTATTTTGTGATTTTTTGACTTTTTTGTGTAAAAAAAATAGAAAAATGATGTGATCCAAAAAAGTCAAAAAATTATATTTTTTGACTTTTTTGTGTAAAAAAAATAGAGAGATGATGTGATCTAAAAAAGTTAAAAAATTACCTTTTTACTATGTTGCCAAAACGCCCCCATAGTGTGTAAAGAAGATCATAGGTATATTATGAGATAATTGTGAATCTCTCTCTATGTCAGTCTTTGTAAGTCTATTTATGTATCTGTCTATAACTACTCTTATGAGTATATAAAGATAGCTATAAGGAGTAATTTGGGAATAAAGAAAATCCGTGATATAAATACCAAGTCAAGCATTTGCTTTATATAATAGAATATATATATATATATATAGAGAGAGAGAGAGAGAGAGAGAGAGAGAGAGAATTACAAACAATAATCAATTCCATTGCTTGGTGTTGGTCTCAGGTTCCCAAACACCTCATCTGGCTGAAGCTTTTTTTTTTTGTATTTCATAAACTTTTTCCAAATAATTCTCAAAATTCTTTACGTTCAGCTCCTAAAAATTTCACTAAAACTGACAAAGAAAAGAAAAGAAAAGAAAAAAGAGACTTAAAGCTGGAGGTCAAACTAATAAGCCACTCACAGCACTAACGTGTACTACCACAGAAGAAAATCAAAATTTAATCAACCCCAAAGCTCACAAAAAGGTATACAAAGAAGAATCTGTCTCTGTGAAATGAAATTTCTCTGTAAACTAAATTAGTAAAAGAATCCTCTGTATACAGAAAATACAACAATTAGTGTTCCACTAATCAAGATGTACCTCAAACACTCTCACAGAATGATCAGCTCCGCAAGAAGCAAGCTGCACCGTCCTTGAGTCTAGACTCTTCTCAGAGTTTCTCCACGCCAAACGATGCACTGTCGAAACATGGCACATTAATGGATCCAACTGCTTGATGAGAGAGGCAGTTGCATGTTCTTCAGTTCTGTTAACGGAAAGACTCCACAATTCAATGAGTCCAGTTTCCATTCCAACTGCAAGAAATCCGTGATTGCTCGGACGATCAAGACCGACCCAAGATAGAGCATTGACACTACTGTTGAACTGTGGCAGAGTCATGAGCTGCTTAACTGAAGATCCCTTCTCTATAATAGCCCAGATCTTCACAGTCTTGTCCCTTGAACCGGTGGCAAATTCATGACCAAATGGGTTCCAAGAACATGCCCATATGATTCTTTTGTGAGCCTCCTGTCTTGTTAGAAGCTCATAACTAATTTCGTCAACACCTAGATACAATATGTATTATGCAGCACCAATCAGTATTAGGATATGCAGTGAAGAGAATAAACATAATCTCATCATGAATTAATTCCAACTTTGTTTTCTTCTCGCTAAAGAATTCTAATTGCTCCATATGGTTGGTGATAAAGGGAAATGGAAATGAAAATGAAAATGGAAGGGATGATCATTCTAAACGCCCTTTAAGTAGAAAACGGAAGCGGCAAAGAATGAGAAAAGTTGGGGTGGTGGTGCTACTTTATCCATCATCACACTATCATTTCTAAAAGAAAACATCAAAATGTTTTGTTTGTTTTAGTGTTATGTTATATTTTGTTTTTGTTTTTGTTTTTTTTTGTTTTTGTTTTTGTTTTCTGTTTTTTGTTTTTTGTTTCTTCTTTCAATTTTTATGTTTTCAACTAAACAGCACGACGTGAGAATTTGAATGCTTTATTAGGCATCTTTTAGTTGCTCAATTGTCTAAAAGATTGCTTTACCTTTAAGAAAACTACAAAACAGAAATCATAGAAAAGGGTGCATTATTAATGAAGTAGCTGATATCTATCATACCTGTGTGCTTGATTGAGAAGACAGAAAACTGGCGATCCCTTGAGACCGCCAAAAGAAAGTTGTCATCGTGAGAGAATTCCATCTGTGTCACTGTTAAGCTGTGTGACTGCAAACGACCAACTGCCTTCCATGAACCCACTTGCCAAAGCCATATTTCTGCCACTGATGCAGATTGGGCCTGCAAGATTTGCTATTCATGAGCAGCAATAGATACCAAAAAGATATGCTGTGTACCATGAAAATAAAAACAAAAAACAAAAATAAAGCTAAAAAAGACAAACTATCAGAAATGGAACAAACTTGACAATACCACATCTTCAGTGACAGATTAATGTTGTCCAAGTACTCGTGCAAGACCATTGTGCAGACATTACCCTTTTTTTTTTTTTTGATCGGCGACCATTGTACTGACGTCATGCCATCTCAAGTAACTCTACAACTATTCAGTTACTATTAGATTCCTTAAAACAAAAAGTTAATTCAAGCCATTGTGTCACATGGACTCAAAGGCCATTATTATTCACTTCAAGTATGGGCATTATAGGATCACATTCAAAGATTTTCTTTCAACTTTTCTACTTGCATATATGGCTAGAGAGAGCACTTTTTCTGTAACAACTCCATTCTGATGTACTAAATTTTCTCCTCAAATACTTTTTTAAAGGAAGAAATATTTAACAATCATGAGAACATTAATAGGAGTTACCTATCGGGTAACACAGAGGGCCCTCACATCTCTTTTTGCATGTTTAAAGGCAATGTCATCCTATTCAGTTCAATCCATAACAGCCTAAATGTGTATGGAAGCACATGGCCTTTCTGACGTTCTACCAGACAATTCAAGCAGTAAACATCTCAAAGCTGTTATTAATGTTATGGTACCTACAACTTTCAAGTACTACAACAGCAATAAGAATGTGACCTGATACCTTACAAGATGACACAACAAGCTTCCCCTCATGATCACAACATAATGAAAACAGCTCGTTCCCATGACCATAGAGTTTGTGTGACTCTGGCCATAATGTATGCCATGACAATTGTTCTTCAATTGGAGGTTCGGTAAATTCAACTGGAACTGCATCTGGAATAGTTTCGATTGTGTCAAGGCCATCACTACCATTTCTGTCTGGGGTCTCATGTGGAGCTGTGCAACGAAAAAAAGACTACTGTTCAATGATTCTATTTAGCAAAAATCATACATACTTAAACCTACACATAAACAGGAAGCAAAGGAGTTTCTCCAGTAATTTTATCAACAGTTAAGAAAAAACATTGCAACATTATGGTATCCGTGTCATGTCCATGTCGGGTTAGTGTATCCATGTCATGTCCATGTCGTGCAACGTGTCTGTGTCCATACTTAGTGTACTGACAGTATCCGAACCGAGCAGAACCCTCTCTTTGTTTATAATAATTTTATCGTACAGACTAATCAGCCATTAAGTGTTTTTGCCAAGAGTGAAGTGGGTCAATGTTTGGAGCATAAATGGACCATAAGATTGGCAAAATTGGAAAGGGATAGTTTTGCCTAAAAGTAGTCACTCCTGTGGATCATTCCCTTCAATTTATATACTCCATCCTGATTTGTGGTTCCCATTTTCACTTTTTAGAGGCCTCAAAAATGTTCCACAATAAAAAGTAAAAATGAAAAAGATAATTTTTTTACATTAACGATTTTAGTTAAAGTTGAAGCATAATTAAACTGAGAATAGAGGCCAGCATGTAATGGCTTCAGGAAATAGACTAACAAATTGGGATGGATAAGAAAGTGATCTTTAAACAATCCTATTTTTAAAATCTGGACTATCAAGCAAATAAAAAATCAAAGAATACATGGGAAATATCAAATTCACATAATAAAAAAGGAACACCATTCCTACTACCACTTGATTCAGACACAAAGAATGATGCATTGCAATGGGTTGTAGCATCACTACTATATCACACAACATTAAATAATTGAGAGAGAGAGAGAGAGCACTCTACCTTGAACATAAATAGGTTTTTGTGATAGCCCAAGGGCAGACATATTCGCACCCAAAATCTGAATATGAGCTTGCATGTCTTCAGGAAAAGTAGATTTCTGTAAAGTTGTATGATTCAATGTCTTCAAAAAAGACAGAGGTGCTTCAAATACTCTGGCAACTTTCTCATCAGCCCCACTCACAAAACGGTGGTTGCCCTTCCCTTGGATGATTGTGACACAGTTAATATCATGGCCATGAACTTGAGGACGAGCAATTTCATGCCAAGAGTCCCCATTTTTCAAATGAGGTTCACTAAGCCATGGAGCAAAAATCCTTGTGGTCTGCAAATTTCGAAATATGTAAAATTGAGATTTTCTACAGTGGATACAACATAATCAAAATAAATTGTAACATGTAATTAAGCTATCTGCTCAGCTTAAATTTGTATGCAAAAGAAACGTGACTTAGAAAATTATTTTCCCTACCAAAAGGGCCCTCTTAGCCTTTCAAGATGTATCTAAGCGTGAGGAGTCACTTGGCCTGCATTTACAGTAGATGATACTCTTCAAAGAGTTAAGGCGTGCTTCAGACTTAGTAAAGGTATATATTAACATAGTTATGAGAATGATAGAATATAATACGCGATGCAATAATATAGTGTGAGCCTCCCATTTTTAGAGGCAGAAACAGGCTTGAATAATTATAAGATCTTCATTTCACATTAATAGTCTCCCCTATACTCAGCATTTCTCTCACAGTACTTCTCTTTATCCTGAACTGATATGTTTCTAAATTATTCCTTTCCATCAATTTACTGTTATCTATTATGAATCTAGGTAAAAATTTTGAAGGTAGCAATTTCCTTTCTTTTTTTTTTCTTTTTTTTTTTTTTTTTCTAATGAGGCCAAAGGGTGAAAAAATATCAACCTCTTGACCCCACAGATTGGATGACACCGCCCAAACTGTTTATTAATGTCCCGTGGGGTTATGAAACTCTGGATTTTCTAAATCGAACTCTCCAAGTGCCTCTTCTTATACCAACTAGACCCAGAGTAACATTGGCTTCAATTTCTCAAACCTGCTCCCCATAAATAGAAGGACTTCACGAGTTAAACTACTGTAATTAACATCACACATGCTAAAGCTTTTAACTAGTTTAATACTTGTCTGACATTACCCTGGGCCTTGGGTAGAGAAAAAAATAAATTGTGTTCTAAATTCTAATGTAAGGGAAGACACTGGTCCCAAATAGTACATACTGTTGAAAAGAAAGGCTTATTTTCTAATTGATGTCTATGAAACACCGACACTTCAAAACAAGTGCCTTATCCATGTCAGACACACGGACACTTCAGGGACACGCGGACACTTCGGAGACACGTATGGGAGACACCACATGGTGTGCCCCCTTATTTGATTAATTTATTCTCATGGGACACGCAGGAGACACTTCGGGAACACACTAGGAACATTCCAAGTTGTCTTTTCTCCCATTTTATTTAGTATTTTTGATAAATGTTAAATGTTTATTATTTTTTTCTTAGATTTAAATACTTAATAAATCATCTATAAAAAAAGCTATAAACTATACGTGTTAATTTAAAAGTGTTTTTTTTTCTTTTAAAAAAAGAAAGAACTAGAGTTAGTTTTTGCAAATATTGATTGTTTGTGGATGTTATATTAATCTAGCTAGCAAATAAAAATATATGATACACATTTTATTGCCGTGTCCTTGCAGTGTCCGTGTCTCTATTTTTTTGAAATCACCATGTCCCGTGTCTGCATCCGTGTCCATATCAGTGCCCACATCTATGCTTCTTATACATGATTTTTTTGATAAAAATTGATGTATACATGATATAGCGAACTTCTAGTCTCCACCCCTACATAGCCTACAGTTCATAAAAAAATCTACTCCACTCACAAAAAGTGGATAGAGGAGGGGGGAAAAAAAAATTCATATTGAGAGTGGTTTAAATAAAAGGCGGCTCGAGTCAATGGTTAGAGAGGACAAAAGGAAGAGGTTGAAATTGAACTCATCTGGTTCTAAATCACATCTGAGAAATTTCTCAACAGTTTCTAGAAACAAATTTATAGGTTCGTCCTGGGAGCAAATGTGGGAAGTTTACATGGTTCTACTTGCACAAAATACTCTGAGAAGAAACAAATTAACTAGTAACCAACCAAAAGCATGTAACTGAACATACACACAAATAATAAAAATAACAATAAAGAGAAAGAAAGCAAGACAACTTCATATAACTCCTTATCCAGCTTGGCAAAAGTTACCTGATCATGACTGACTGACAGCAAATATTCACTAGACTTGGCCCATGCAATATCTGTCACTGCTGCAAAGTGCCCAGAGGGAACTTTTTGTGGTTTCCAGTTGTCTACATCAACACCAACATTTCTCCAGAGATGGAAAGATCCACCATATCCATGGGCTAAAATAGTATCTCCACTTGAGCTCCAGTGCCCACCATAGAATCCTAAAGCACAATGACTTAACTCTCCAACTGTAACCACATTCATCCAGATACCAGTGGTCCTTTCGGGTTGCCAGATCATCATTGTCTTGTCCATGGACGCAGATAAAATGCTTTGAGGTTGATGACACTCAACCCCATCTTCAGATGAACTTAAAGGGGGTTGCCATTCCACCGAATACACCCAATCCTCATGTCCAATGAGAAGTGATTCCAATGATATCTGATAGGAGTGTGAGCCAGCTACAAATACTGGACCTTCAATATAAGAAGCCAAGCTTATTTCTTCTTTCCTTTTAGAGTTAGCTAGAGCCATCTTCCATATGCGTATGCCTCTGTCTTGAGATGAGCTTACTAATAAAAGATTATTTGCTTCACCATTTGTGCATACAGGTAATGAGAAGTCCAAACTTCTGATCCAATCAGTATGCCCTTTTAAATCACAAGCACGAACAAACTGGGTACATAAACAAACAAAGAAACAAAAATCCTTTTGAGCCAAGACAAAGATTACATGCAAGACAATGGACAAGTCTGATATCACATACTTTTCCTGTCCTATCACCACAGTAAAGATGGATTTTGTTATCCAATCCCCCCATTGCCAGGACAAGGTGCCCAGTACTTCCAGGCAACTCTGCTAGAGAAAGCGCAACCATAGGTTTTGAACCAACAAAGAGAGAATCCAGACATGTTAATTTACAGTCACCTAGAGAAAACACACCAAGTGATTAGTGCCAGTGGCATTAAAATAAAACTCATGTTGTTTTCCATATAGGATAAGATGATCGCCAAAATAGTATGCAGCAAGAACTTGGGAAGAACAAAGAAGGGAATAGTGCAAAAATACACGGCAAGAAAATAAAAATGGAAGCAAATATTGTTTGGCAAAAAAGGGAAATAAAAACTAAAATTTATTGTCAAAGATAATGATCTAATTGGCCTCCTTTAATTAGCAATCTGCATAAAATTCCAAATTGTTGTTCTATAAAATTCCCAAGTTTAAGTCCCATAACACATTGCTGGTAGTTGTTCTATAAAATTTGTCTTTCAAATTTATTTATTTTTCATAGATCACATAATATGGCACAGAAGCACTCCACTTGAATAAACCTTTGATTCAATGTATAACATCATCTCCAACCTGCATGTCCTTATTAATAATCAAATCTAAGTAACAAAAATGTTCACTCTTTATTATCTCCTGATTTTCAATATTCATTTATTCATTATTTTTAGGGTAAACTACCAATAAGTCTTAATAGTTGGAGTTAATTCCATCAAGTCTTATTAAAAATAAGTGTTAGTAAAATCGTCGCTAAAATTAATTTTTTGTCGCGATTTTTTACATATCATTAAAAATTAACAATTAGTGACCTTTTTTGTCACGGTTTTTATAAATTGTCGCTAAAACTTACAATTAGTGATATTTTTCTGTGACAAAATTTTCAAATTGTCCCTGAAAGTAAAAAATTAGTAACGTTTTTTTATAACGATTTTTTTAAACTGTCACTAAAACTTATAATTAGTGACATTTTTTGTGACAAAATTTTCAAATTGTCGCTGAAAATTAACAATTAATGATGTTTTTTAATAGTGTTTGATGAACAAGTCATTAATTATCATAGGACCTATTGAACAATAAGTCCACCTATTAGAACCTACACGTAAGTCCACCTTATTTTTAATTATGTAGTTTTGAATTTTACATTCCATATATTCAGTTTTAGTCCTCTAATTTTAAATCTTTTTGACTTGAGACCTCGTTTTCCAAATCCACACACAACACAATACATAAAGCAAAAGTCCTCATGTATTTAGCTTATGCATTACAGATAGAGACAGACTAGTTGGCTAGTTTTAGCTGATTCTGAAGCATCATAAGACGAGAAGCTAATCATTCACTTTTATATTAAGAGAAGACCAAAAAATGCCTGGACATTACTTGGGGCATCTAACCAAAATTACTACGACACCGAATCTGTATGAGCAAGCATTAAATGTATCGTGTCTATGGTCAATTAAAGCACCATCGTCCTATGACGTGGAGAAGAAGACAACTCTGTGCATTTATGAAATTCAAAAAATCTTGAATACTCAAAACCCCCAAACAAAGACTGGGAGAAAAAATGGTCACAATTAAAAACAATAAGCATCAATAACACGGTTATGCTGAAAATACTTCAGCCGAGCTAGTAACAAGCTATGGATGTATAAGTGGGGATAGCAGTTCAATCATCAAACTGAAATTATGATTAGCATGTTGAAACAGCCTGAATCCATATTACTCACCTCCGGACGAAGACGGAAGGACCAATCTCCATACATAAACTGTACCGTCAGAAGACGTAGATGCAAACACTGTATCAGTTGGAGAAATCATAATTCCAGTAATGCATGTAACGCCTTTCTTGTGTGGTTGTGGCACTTGTAATACATACCTCCACTGCAAAAGCATTCAAACCAAAACTTTTTAGCAAATAATACATGACCGAAATTTTGTGAACAGAGCATTCAACATGAAGTTATTCATTCTAAAATTTTCTAATAAATTAAATATGATAGAAAAACTTCACTCTTTAAATGAGTAAATTGTATTACACATCTGCTATGAATTTTATTAGATGATTGTAAATTAGTTGTTCTACAATTTTCTAACTGTATTGTAGATGTCTAAAATTAAAAGCTTCATTTGAAACAAACGAAACACACCCTTCAAGGCTGCAACTTCAACTAACTTCACAAAATCACAAACCTTGTAACGGGTGTCTTCAAAATAACTTCACTAAATCACAAACCACATAACAAGTGTCCTTAGACCTAACTACTGATAGAACCACATCACTCTATCACAAGTTTCTATTGATGACAGACTAGGCTTCTCAACTTCACTACTCTTTTAATACAATAAAATCCATGCATTTTGATTGGCTTTCTTTAAGCTAATTCAGATTCCAGGGCCAAATCCTTGGACACCTATTATCCCATCCATGTCCAAATGTATATATTTTATATAGCTCTAGCCAAAGTAGTTTGCATCATTTGTCAGCACTAGAAAGGATTCTTTGATAACCCAATTACTTAAATATAAAAAATTTCAATGGATCTTCAACTAAATTAGATTAATAATGCTGAATTGGCTTGCGAAGGTAAGTCTGCATTCTTTCCCAGTACTTGAAGGGGTTGTTTGATGACACAAATTACTTAAGTCTAGCAATTTCAGATGGATCTTCTACTAAGTTTGATCATGCCTAGTCGGCTAGCTTTTAAAACTGAAAATCCATTTAAAAAAGGTAAGTCTTAAGTCAGAGATTTGGCCTATCAGTATATGTTGAATATGCTTTAACAAAGGTGGTTTTCAATTTAAAGATTCATAAACAAATTTATCTTCAAAATTTGTTAAATACAAAATTCAGTATTGTACCTTTTCCCATAATATGGAACAATCTATGAAGCACGGATACTCCGAAATAGCCTCCGTACGCGTATCGGATACGTGTCGGATACAGATACGCGCCCAATATGGCGGGATACGTATCAGATACGGAAAATGAAGTATCCAATTTTTTTTTTTAATTTTTGAATTTCGGATACGTCTAGGATACGCGAGGATACGGTCAGGATACAGTATGGATACGACGGGGCAAAAAAAATAATTTAAAAAACTTAAAATGGGGTCAAATTATAAAATCTGAAAATGAGATGAAATAAAACACAAAAAAAAAAAGAAAAATAATAATCAATCAAACTCTCTCTTACCTAGGTCGAACAGCAGCCGCGAAGGAGGAGGAGAAGGAGTTCGTAGTCGTCTCGAACAGCAGCTCGCCGATCGTCGACTAGGTTCGCGAATAGGAGCTCCACGATCGTCGATCATCAGGTTCGTCCCTCTCTCTCTCCATTTCGCTCTCTCTGTCTGCCTCACTCGATCTCACGAACTCTCTCTCTCTCCCTCTCCCTCTCGCTGTCGCTCGATCTGTCTGTCTAGTTGGAGATCTCGATTCGATCTCATCTCCCCCCCCTCTTGGTCGATCTCGATTCGTCTCTCTGTTTTGCATATGTATATATATATATATATTTTTTTGTATGTATACTGCAAATCAAATAAGATATTAAAAAAAATTATATGTATTCGGTTTTATCTGATAAAACAAATAAAAAAAATTAAAAAAAAAAAAATTATTTGTTTTATCTGATAAAACAAATAAATAAATAAACTTATTAATAAATAAATAAAATAAGGTAAAAAAACTTATTAATAAATAAATAAATAAACTTATTAAAAATAAATTGTTGAAGTTTTATTTTATGTATGTTACATTACTAAAAATTGTTGAAGTTTTATTTTATGTATGTTACATTACTAAAAATTGTTGAAGTTTTATTTTATGTATGTTACATTACTAAAAATTGTTGAAGTTTTATTTTATGTATGTTACATTACTAAAAATTGTTGAAGTTTTATTTTATGTATGTTACATTACTAAAAATTGTTGAAGTTTTATTTTATGTATGTTACATTACTAAAAATTGTTGAAGTTTTATTTTATGTATGTTACATTACTAAAAATTGTTGAAGTTTTATTTTATGTATGTTACATTACTGAAAATTGTTGAAGTTTTATTTTATGTATGTTACATTACTAAAAATTGTTGAAGTTTTATTTTATGTATGTTACATTACTAAAAATTGTTGAAGTTTTATTTTATGTATGTTACATTACTAAAAATTGTTGAAGTTTTATTTTTGTGTATGCTACATTACTAAAAATTGTGAAAAAAAATATTTTTTATGAACGTATCCCCGCCGTATCCGTATCCTACTTTTTTGAATTTTGCCGTATCACCATATCCGTATCGTATCGTACCCGTATCTCGTATCCGTATCCGTGCTTCCTAGGGAACAATGTTGTATAATTTTTTTTCACATTAGCATGTTGGGTTATTATGTCAGTCAGCATCCCAATTTGAAAAAAACAAATAATTTAAAATTTTTAACACTTTACTGACATCAACTTTCACATTGAACTTCAGAGAATATGCTCAACTTCATTAATGATCTATGAGCATTCAAAGAGGCCATTAATAAGACTAACCATCCATTATGTTAACTGGTCACTATTTTTAACATTCAAACTCACTGCTAACAAAGTGCTTCCAAATTTACACTGATTCATTCGGCCAAAAAATAAAGTACCTTTTTGTCTGCTAGAGACAATTCCCACAAAATAATGGCACCATCGGCATCTCCGGACAGTAAAAAGTGCAGCTCCAAATTTTTTGCTGTGAGCACAAAACAATGAACATTTGTAACAAACCCAAAAATCACTAGCATAAAAGTTTATGCTGAGATAGTAATTTACAAATTAAAGATTAATTTTGATAATAAAAACAATTCAAGCTTAATATTGAAGCAATGATTATGCAAGAATGTACCTTTAAATGCGAACTTGGTAGAAGGAAGCCAGTAGGTGCAATTCACGGAAGCATTGTGACCAGGAAGCGTAGTTAGAATCTGCGCAGTCTGTGGAAAAAGAACATAGAAGAAGTGAAGATGATCGAATCAGAGGCAATTAAAGTGTAGAGATTGAATGAAAATTGAAAAGTGAAAAAGTAGAAATTGAACCTTGGGGCAGAAGATTGAGACGGCGTTGTGAGCACCAAAGGCGACTAAATCAGAAGCGCCCCATGAGACGTTGTTCACTATTCTGTTGCACCCTGCTCCTATGAACACTCTCTCCACTTCCACCATAACTAATTTAGAGAGAGAGAGAGAGAGAGAGAGAGAGAGAGAGAGAGCTCTCTGTTTTGGCTCTTCCATGACAAATACGGTGATAGAAAAATGTAGAAAAAAAAACGAGAGAGGAAGGGAAGTAAAAAGCAGAGAGAGAGGGGAAAGGACTTTTGGGTGTAGTGAAAAAGTTATGGGATTAAATGGAGATCACATGTTTCCCATGGGACCTATGGGTAATTTCCCCTAAAAATAATAATATGGGAAAATTACTTACAATATTTTAAAACAATTCAAGATTTTGATCTTGTAACAAAATAAATTTTAAATTTATTTCTCAATTTCAATCTTAATTTTTTTATTTATTTTTAATATAAATTATTTGTCTATTTTCGTTAAATGAAAGTGACTACAAAATATATTTTTGCCATTAAACTCAATAAAAAAATTATTCTAGACATTTTATGTACACATATATTAAGTTTAATAATTAAATTGTCTACTTCATGGCTCATACTAATTTCACTATGTCAATATGAAAGAAAGTATGATAGCAGGCTACAGGGTTCACATCGACAATTATGAAAATATCCTTAAGCCTATTTTGGAAATATGATTAAAAGTTGCAATTTTGGTTTTTTTTATAAAAAAATGTATAAAAAATATGAGAGATAATGTAATCCTAAATGAGTTAAAAAAGTCGAATGATAACTTTTAACTATCTTCTCAAAATAAACCTTAATACTCAAAAAATTCACTTCATGTAACCCCTTGCCAACTCACCACAGAGTTGGATCCACGTCCATATGGTTCAATGCATACTAATATCAAACTTCATAAATAGGAATGACAACGGGTCAGGTTTTTTCAAGTTTCGTGCACAAATTCTTGTCTTTAAACTCAACTATTTTAACGATAAGATTTCGTATTTTATCCTAACTTTGACAATTTTAACCCATCTATCCCTGTACTGTACTTTGCCTTACTTTATTAATACTCTCCTAAACTTTTTTTGGAAATGCTATAAATCCTAAATAAATTATCAAATTTTTGATCAAATCCCTCATATGGGTGTGGGACCCACACAAATTACATGTGTGTGGGTCTCACACACCATATGAGAGGTTTAATAGAAAATTTAGTAATTTATTTGGAATTTCTAACATAACTCACTTTTTTTTTTATAAATCAAATTGGATCAAATATAATTAGGTTGGGTAATTTTGCCATCCTTATTCATAAACCCAACATATCTTGCCTTTCTATTCACACTTTCTCTCTAAAATGGTAAGGTTGTGTACATCATCTTACCCTTCCTAAACTAGTTTTAGTGAATGTGTGAAACATCAAAACTTATCATTCGTTGGTTTAATTTCACCGCAAAAGGACAACTTAGAGCATCTCCAGTAATACTAATCAAATTACCTAGCCAAAATCTCACTTTATTACTTTAGTTAATCAATATACACTCCAACAATACTTTTTATTTTAACTATCTTCTTTTAAAATATTCATTTAATGTTTTTATGAGAGAAAATGAGAGTGAGAAAAGAAAAGGAGAAAAACTATTCACAAAACTATTTTAGTTAATCTGCTGGAGAGATTTTTCTTGAATTTGACTTGCTATTTTAGCTAAATGGATAGTTTAGCTAACTTATTGCGAATGCTCTTAGAAACCATCACATTAGGTTGAAAAGTAAAATGCAAATCCGAAAATGGCCGGTAGAATAAAAGGGCTTGCAATTATTTTACAATCTTCATTGTGAAATAATAATTGGAGAAAGTGAGAGAAGATAGAGATGAGCGAATAGAGAGAGAGAGAGAGAGAGAGGCACAATTGTTTCTATGAATTGTACATGTCTATTACACAAAGAAGGCACTCTATTTATAGAGGATGCCTTGGATGCCTATGAACAATAACATAATGCTACACTAACATAATGCACTAACATAATGCTACACTAACATGATAATGCACTACATAATGATACACTAATATACACTAACATCCCCCCGCAAACTCAAGGAGGGGAAGCATCAACCAAGTTGAGTTTGGAAACAAGATCATTGAAGCGGCCAGGAGGATGAGCCTTAGTGAAGATATCAGCGGGTTGATCGACGGAAGCGATAGGGAGAAGACGAACAGTACCACAGGTAACATGCTGGCGAATGAAATGACAATCAATCTCAATATGTTTGGTGCGATCATGAAAAACATCATTGTGAGCAATCTGAATGGCACTCTGATTGTCACAATAGAGAGGGGTAGAATCAGAAGAAGAAACACCCATATCAGCAAGGAGCCAGCGAAGCCAGAGAAGTTCCTGAGTAGTATCAGCAAGAGCTCGATATTCAGCTTCGGTGCTAGAGCGGGCAGTGAGGGATTGTTTTTTGCTACGCCAAGCAAGAAGAGAATCCCCTAAGAAGAAGCAGAATCCCGTGGTACCATATGAATGTTGTTAAGAGTATGAGTTTGTGTCATGTTTGTTAAGTTCATTGGTGGGCTTAGACGAATCCTAAGCTTAATCCCTCACAGGGAAATTATACAACATACACAATGTAATGCGCCATCTATTATCCCCAGATTTGTTACCTAAGATACATTTTCAGAATATTTGATTGATGAATTTAAACATCACATTGAAATTTTCTTATGAAAGATACCTAAAATTTGAAGTTTAGCAAAAAGTATAGATCCTAAAACCTAAAATCTCATTTTTGTCTCGTCTATGTCCAAGTATCCTTATGACGAGGTTTTATTTCCATATCCAAGTGGAACTATGCAACTCTATCAAAAAATTAAATGGGAAGAAAGATGAACAGGTGTGATGAACTCACTTGACAAATGCTACACTTCCAATCCTTGTCGGTAGACTTAAGTAGTGGAAAGGATTCTGACATTGAGTGCTTCGATTTCCTTAGGCAGCGAAAAATCTCATCCTCTTGTAACCCTGTACCCACATAGCCAATCCTATCACCCAAATTGAGCAGTTCCTGCAAAAGGGCATAAAGAGATTGACATCGACAAAGTTGATTTCAATCTAGACTTGAATATAATTACGAAAAAGATTGCAAAGACAATCAGAATAAGGAACAATATACAAATACCTCATATGACATATTGTCGACATCAAACATCCAATCCCCATGCTGATCGTATCCATCTAAACTTCCTCCAAAGAGCAGATTGTGTTGGAACATAACAAACTGCACCAATTCACAGTTATTCATTTAGCAGCATTTTAAATTATGGAGATGGCACATTTTTCTTTTTAATGTAAAGGAAGAATTAGATGTCCTTTTTTACTAGTGAACAACATTATGATGTTGGAACAATCTTCTGTGTAAATAAAATAAATAGAAACTAAATCAAACAAAATAAAATAAAACTTACAGAATTTATTTTGTCGAACCAAATGAAAAATAAAAGACCAAGTCGAGTGTGTGACACTCTGTCCTTAAGACAGATTTGCCCCGCTACGGTGCTTACGATTATATGGCGTCTATCTCCCAGGATACAATGATCTTCACAAATTTATAGTAGCACTCCAAACAAATTTGTACGGCGAACCAAACTTGTGTTCTAACTCTCTGAATTTTATTCTAAAACTAATATGAAGAATAATGCACTAAAGATAAAAGTTTGGACAGCAAAAGAATATTTTTGAGACTGATTTTCGATGTCGAAGACTGCTGGAAATGGTCTGAATTTATAGGCAAAAATCTGACTCGAACAGGTACCAAATTGAAGTGAAAAGGTGCACATTTAAATTGAACAGGTGCAAGTACTATTCAAACAGATAACTGTTGAATAATTGATTTGTCCGTTGCTTAGAACAATTTTTCAAACAATTTGAAAAAAGTATCCGTTGGTTGGACAGTTTTTAAACTGTTGGAATATTTTTATTAAACTGTTTGAACAGTTTAATCAATAAAGGAAGAGGTACATTCTTAGGAAATCACTTAGGAAACCAAAATTTGAATTTAGATTTAAATTAAATTTCCACATTAATTTTTTTATTTTTTTATTTTTTGAAAAAATTCAAATAAATTTTGTCTAAAAAATTAATGTTAGACCCGAAAACGACGTCAACTTCTCATTCACTCATAAATGGTTTTGATGTTTCGTCTTCACCGTGCGACTTGCCATGCGGCAAGAAACACATCACCTCTTCAGACCCAACCCAAAAGACGGTTGGAGCCCACTCAATTTTGAGCTCAAAGTGGTTTCCTAAGAATGTACCTCTTCCTTTATTGATTAAACTATTCAAACAGTTTAATAAAAATATTCCAACAGTTTAAAAACTGTCCAACCAACGAATATTTTTTTCAAACTATTTGAAAAATTGTTCTAAGCAACAGACAAATCAACTATTTAACAGTTATCTGTTTGAATAGTGCTTGCACCTGTTCAATTTAAATGTGTACCTTTTCACTTCAATTTGGTACTTGTTCGGGTCAGATTTTTGCCTATAAATTCAGACCATTTCCAGCAGTCTTGGACACTGAAAATCAGTCTCAAAAATATTCTTTTGCTGTCCAAATTTTTATCTTTAGTGCATTATTCTTCATATTAGTTTTAGAATAAAATCCAGAGAGTTAGAACACAGGTTTGGTTCGCCGTACAAATTTGTTTGGAGTGCTACTATAAATTTGTGAAAATCATTGTATCATGGGAGATAGACACCACATAACCGTAAGCACCATAGCGGGGAGAATTTGTCTTAAAGACAGAATGTCACACACTCGACTTGGTCTTTTATTTTTCATTTGATTCGACAAAATAAATTCTGTAAGTTTTATTTTATTTTGTTTGATTTAGTTTCTATTTATTTTATTTACACAGAAGATTGTTCCACCAATCTTAAGACAGATTCGAATTATTCTGTTTACCGAATTTTTCGTTTGTTTCCTTTTCTTTTTCGTCTTTTACAAAAATTATTTTCTGTGGATTTACAAAATAATATTCTGGTTAGAAAAACAAATAGTGATTATATGCTAGTTGACAGATAGTAGTAATATACTGTCTATTTTCTTTGACAACTAGTAGTAATATACTGATGTCATTAACAATTCAAAATATTTATTTGTAGAATTTTTTCAAAAATTATTTTTGGTTTTTAGAAATTTATTTTTGAGTGTTCTTTAATTAAAAAATTCTGTTTTAGTTTTTTTTTAACTATTGAAGTGAAACAGAAATTTAATTTTCTGTGTGGAATTAATTTGGTTAAATAAAATTTTATTTTATTTCCAAATTAATTGAAAAATAAAAGTTATATTCTTGTTTCTTTTATTTTTACAGAATTTAATTATGTGAATTTGGATTAATTTTCTATGTAGTATAAATTCTAATTATAATTTTGTTTATAATTTAGAATTCATGGCTACTTAAACAAATGCTCAAACAAGTACTAGTGTGGTGGCTGCAATTGCGTCAACCCTCTCTCTTGTTGTGACAGTACCGGTAAATCACGGTGAAAAGCCAGAGAAGTTCTCAAGAACTAATTTTAAAAGATGGCAACATAAAATGTTGTTCTATCTTACAACTATGAACCTGACTCATTTCCTTCGTGAGGATGCTCCTATTTTGAAAGATGATGAAACCGACCGGCAAGTGGTTGCTGCGGTTGATGCCTGGAAACATGCCGATTTCCTTTGCCGGAACCACATCTTGAACGGACTTGACAACACATTATACAATGTCTACAGTCCTATCAAGACTGTTAAGGAACTTTGGAAGTCTTTAGAGAAAAAGTACAAAACGGAAAATGCCGGCTCAAAGAAATTTGTGGTTGGCAAATTCCTAGATTTTGTAATTGTTGATTCTAAACTGTAATCAGCCAAGTTCAAGATCTCCAACTCATTCTGCGTGACATTCACGCAGAAGGCATGTCTCTCAGTGAATCCTTCCAAGTTGCAGCCTTAATTGAGAAATTACCACAAGGCTTGAAGGATTTCAAGAACTACCTCAAACATAAGCGCAAAGAGATGTCTTTAGAAGAATTAATTGTGCGTTTGAGGATTGAGGAGGACAACCGTAATTCTAAAAAGTGGGCTGGTAAGCATCCTATAGAGTCTAAAGCAAATGTGGTGAAACATGCTTCAAAAACTAAGAAACGAAAGTCTTTTGAAGAAAGTTCATCACAAGGCTTTAAAGGGGGAGAAAATAAAAAATACGAGTTTAATGGCAAATGTTACATCTGTGACAAAAAGGGACATCGGGCCAAAGATTGTCGTAGCAAAGGCAAAGGCAAAGGCAAAAGCAAAAGTAAAAGAAGAACAAGCAAGAAGCCTGCTCAAGCTCATATGACCGAAGTGAACAATATTTCCATGAATCCTTCCAAGTTGCAGCCTTAATTGAGAAATTACCACAAGGCTTGAAGGATTTCAAGAACTACCTCAAACATAAGCGCAAAGAGATGTCTTTAGAAGAATTAATTGTGCGTTTGAGGATTGAGGAGGACAACCGTAATTCTAAAAAGTGGGCTGGTAAGCATCCTATAGAGTCTAAAGCAAATGTGGTGAAACATGCTTCAAAAACTAAGAAACGAAAGTCTTTTGAAGAAAGTTCATCACAAGGCTCTAAAGGGGGAGAAAATAAAAAATACGAATTTAATGGCAAATGTTACATCTGTGACAAAAAGGGACATCGGGCCAAAGATTGTCGTGGCAAAGGCAAAGGCAAAGGCAAAGACAAAGGCAAAGGCAAAGGCAAAAGTAAAAAAAGAACAAGCAAGAAGCCTGCTCAAACTCATATGACCGAAGTGAACAATATTTCCAATGGTGTAGATGACATCAATCTTTCTGCAGTTGTTTCCGAGGCAAATCTTGTCGGAAATCCTAAAGAATGATGGGTGGACACTGGTGCTACTCGCCACATTTGTACCGACAAAAAGATGTTCACATCTTATTTTACAGTGGACAATGGTGAACAACTTTTTATGGACAACTCCTCAACTTCCAAAGTTGATGGACAAGGGAAGATTATTCTCAAGATGATATCTGGAAAGGAACTCACTCTCAACAATGTGTTGCATGTACCGGACATTCACAAGAATCTTGTTTCTAGATCTTTGTTAATTAAGAATGGGTTTAGACTAGTGTTTGAGAGTGATAAATTTGTACTTACTAAGAATGGGATGTATGTTGGAAAATTTGGTTTATAGGCTTATTTTGGGCTATCTTTAAGCCCAAAATAAACTTATATTACACCATTTTTCCAACAGATGATAATGCTTCTCATGATGAAAAATTCATATAAATCCTGTAAGTGGTGTTTTAAGAAGCTTTGAAAATACAATGAAGAGAAATAAGGTTCCTTCTCCTCCTTGTGTATGTCTGTTGTTCATTAGTTTGTAGGGTTTGATGTAGTTCACCAAAGATTATTCTAAGTTTTCGAATCTATTCCATAATTTCAATAGGACTATGTCCACAGTCATTGCGGATTCACTATGATATGATCAGAAAGAATACATACATGGATAGTATTAGGACTATTAGGTCACAAGTGCAGAATATCAAATTACTCTACTCTAGAACTAGAATCGGTTAGTACTTAGTGCCTATTAATATCCACACTACTCAATAAAATTTTCAACAGTGAATCGTATATATGTGAAAAGTACAGGTGCTATTCAAATTCAAGGGAGCACCAGAGCTCTCACAAATTCCAAATTCTGGAGTGAGGGAACCCGTGTTAGCTATTGAAATGCCAAAAAGAACCGTGCAAATACGATGAAGAAAACTAGAATAGTTAACCTGTGGAAGTTGTCTAGGAGAATGGCGTCTAAGACGATGAGCATTATTTGTATCAAATGCTGATGGCAAATCTGAAGCAGAGGCACGCTCAACGTTGGTTGTTCCCCTCACTGAACAAGACCGCTGACAAATCATCCAAGTAAATTGCTTCAGTCAATGAAGCCACAATACATAGAAGAGAAAAACTGTCTAGCATGTTTGTTTTTCGAGTTTTCTAAAACAAAAATAATGAAAAAGGTTCAAAAACAACCTATAGTTTTCATTTTTCTGAAAAAAAAAAAATTCAAAAATTCAGAAAACAACTTAAAGGTGCTCCCTTGTAAAAAAGGGGAGTGTTAAGACAACTTTTCTGAAAATAGCTCTCGAAAATAGTTTGCCAAATAAGTTTTTCCTAGCAGTTTATATTTTTATTTTTATTTTTTCTCTTAAAAACATTTACTCTTTTTACTCAAAATTGAAAGAAACAAATTATATTACATGCATCTGAAACATTAGAAGAACATGTCGACATAAAACTTAATTTAATTGATGGATAAACACATAAGAATCAATAATGCTTATGATATGAAATTGGGAAGAAAAAAAAAAACTGGTGTATCAAATTACATGCAAGAAAATCTGTATTTAGGTTGTATTTGGATTATGAATTTTGGTAGTGATTTAGAAAAAAAAAGAAAAAAAAAAAAAGAAGAGTAAAATGTGAATGAAATATAATTACATTTTACAAATCTTTTTGCTTTTCCATTTCAAATTCTTACTTTAAAGTTATGATCGAAACACAGCCAGACATTAAACTAAATTAAATAATCCTTGATCAACAAGAGCAGGGGAGGGGATGCAGATAAAAGGCCCACCATTTACACAAAAGCATTAAAGAAGAATTCAGTCAAATCATATGTATAATAAGGATTACCACTCTGTGATTGGTTCTTTCAGAATCGACCCTCGTTCTGGGAACAACATCGGAGGCTATACCAACACCAGGAGCACAACAAACACTTTGAACATCAACCACAACAACAACTCCCTGAGTATTGGGACTAGACGACGTCGTTGTCCTCCTCTGTTTTTTCTTATTCTTCTTCCTCCGCCGCACTCTCTCAGCCTCCAAATCCGCCGCCGTAACCACCGGCGACGCTGCCCCACATCCCAGTCCTCTGAGTGTCACCGACGTAAATAACTTCTTCTTCTTGGGTTTTTTTGTTAAAAGCTTTTTGGTTTCATTAGACCCATCAATGTTGTTGTTGTTGTTAGAAATGGTGGGTTTGAAAGTGGAGGATTGAGAGAGAAATTGGGTTCTGGGTTTTGGATCTGAGGCTGAGATTGAATGGTTTCTGTGTCTTAAGAATGACATTGTTGAATTAAACAGAGATTAGCAATAAGCTTTGCTTAGTTTGAGAGAAAAACAGAGTAAAGATTAGGAATTTTTAAATTGAGTTTTGAAATTGAAAGAATTGTAGTGTTCATGATTTGGGTTTCTTCTTTGAGGGAGGGAGATGATTGATTACAGTACAGGGACAACCCAAAAAATAAATAAATTATTTAATTAAAATACAGTTAGTTCATAGCTGGCTTTGGTTCTGTTTTTGTGAATTTGTTTTCTTCTGTATTTTGTCGAGTTATGAATTATTTGTGGGAAACTAGGAAAAATATTAAAAGGTGGAGCCAAAATTGAAAATTATTATTTGTTTTAAATTTTTATAGGCATCTGAATCAAGCTTGACTCATTGCAACTTGCAATTGCTTAGAAGAAAGATTCTTGTAACAGTTCAATATTATGGAATATTTGTTTTATTTTTTTGATTGATTAAATAAATAATAATTGATATATAAGATTATCAAATGCAGCAAAGTTGGACATGAAAATGACATCTTTCCAGAATCTTTACAAATTGAAGAAGAATTGTTGAATGAATCAAGCTAATCTTTAGTACCAAAAAAATAAAATAAAATTCAAGCTAATCCAAATCCAAATACAAGATTTGAGAGAGTAATTTGAACTGCATGAGCAATTATTGTAAATCAATATCTCATGATGAACTAAGAGCATCTCCAAGAACCAAACATGTTAGTATTATCATATTTTAATTACATCAACAAATTAGTTAATGATTATTTTAATAAAATTCTTTAAGACTAGTTATATTTAAAGAGTCTTGAGAGTTTTTAAATAATTTGTATGTATAGATAAATAAAATAAATAATAACGTTAAAGTATAGATAAACAATAATTAGGCAAACTGAAAACTATACTTTTTTTTAATTTATATTTTAGTAAGTAAAAAATGAAAAGTATAATTGAAATTGTTCTAAAAAAAATGTTAAAATTTACTGTCAATCCATTAAACATATAACAAGTAATAATGTGCCAATATGTAGTCTAGACATGAAATTTTAACCCAAAACCAGATAAAATAAATAATTTATATAAAAAAAAAACATTTGAAGGCATTTCTTTCTTTCTTTCTTTTTTCGATTTGGCATTATAATTTGGGGGATTTGGTGATAGCCCCCTCACTATCTAATTTGTCTTTCAAAAGGACAAGAATTATATAAGTACTTTCAAAACCCTCTAATATTTTAAAACTTGTTTTTTTTATTATATTACCCTCATATCTATCAGCTCTCCTATTAAGTTATCTTCACTATATATTTCAGAGTAAAATTTTACTTTGTATGAAAGTAAAATTTTACATTCTGAAACTAAAAGTAAAATTTTACTCTGTATGAAAGTAAAATTTTACATTCTGAAACTAAAAGTAAAATTTTACTCTGTATAAAAGTAAAATTTTACTCTGAATAAGAGTAAAATGTTACACTCTGAAACAAAAAGTAAAATTTTATTCTGTATAAAAGTAAAATTTTATTCTAAAAAATGAGTAAAATATTAGACTCTACACAAAAGTAAAATTTTACTCTGTATAAAAGTAAAATTTTACTCTGATTTTGTTAAATGAAAAAAACAGAGCAATAGAACCAGAGTAAAATTTTACTCTGGTTCTGTCAAATGAAATTAGATACAAAACAACAAAAATAAATAAAAAACAAACAAACAAACAAAAACAAAACAAATTAATCAACAAATCAACATATCTAATTGAGAAGAAAAACTTCTAAAACTTGATCAACAATCACAAATCTCAATGAAAAGAATACATGTGTTCAACAACACTCATACACACAAATATATATATATATACACACACATATTCAAAACTCAAATCTGTGTTTAAAAAAATATGTATAACCAAACAACTCCACCAAACATGCCTTAATTTAGAGACGATCTGTTTCTCCTCGTAGACGATCTCCTTCGATTCCGGCACCGAAGGACAAATTTCCGGCCCGTAGTTGATTTCATTCCTGATGTTCTTGATGAGTTCATCATAGAGATCAATTTCGGCATTGTTGATTGCTGGAGTTTCGCCTGATAACTGACCGGACTTGGCTAGGAGAGTGATGACGATGACGTTGCTATCATCGCCGGAGAAGAAGAAGTTACCAAAATTGTCAAGAAACAGAGCTTCAGATCTGGAAGGGAATCATCATAGCCGTCGTTGCTATCATCGCCGAAGAAGAATCTGGAAGTTTCCGACGGTAATCTAGTTGAGGGTATAATAGTCTAATAAAATATTTAAATTATAAATTTTGTCCTTTATGCAAGACTTTATAATTATGAGGGGGTTTAAAAAGTTTAATTTTTTTCTTAGTCCTTTTAACAATAAAAAGAAAGTAAAGGAGATTTATAGCCAAATTTTCCTTATAATTTTGCATTATAAACTTCCTATGTGTGGCATTTCTTCAATTCCTCGGTTCCTATAAGTCCTCATTATGAAGTATTAAGACTGTTTGGATTTAGAATTTGTCAAAAAAAAGCATAAACTTATTTTTTGCATATCATTTTGCATTATCTTTTTTGTGAATTACACTAAAGATCCCTATAATTTGGGACTTGTGTCACTTTAGTCTCTGACTTTCAATTGTGACACATTTGACCCTTAAAATAAAAATAACCACTCATTACATGATAATCATCCAAACACATAATAAAAATTAATTTGGTAAAAAAAATGTGTAAAAGATTTATCAATTTTACATAATTTTATCCTTGGTGGGTAGAAATAATTTTTAAAAATTTAAAAATATTTTTTTGACATTTATTTTTGTCAAATTAATTTATATTTTATCAAATTGATGATTTTGCCCTTGAAATTGAGCAATAATATCTTTAATTGTCTTTATTTAAAACAATATTCAAAATTCAAGGTCAAATGTGTCACAATTGAAAAATCAAAAATCAAAATGACACGAAGCCCAAACTGTAGGGACTGTTAGTATAATTCGCCCTTATCTTTTATTTTATTTTTTTGGGTGTCACCTTCCAGAAATACTAAATATTCAAACTATTCACATCTAGTACATATGTTAGACATGAAAAGATTTCAACAAAGATGGGCAATCAATTGAAAAACTCAACTCACACTTCTCCCAAATTATAAGGACTATTAGTGTAATTCGCCCTTATCTTTTTTATTTTATTTTTTTGGGTGCCGCCTGCCAGAAATACTGAATATTCAAACAGTTCGCGGTATCATACATATGTTAGACATGAAAAAGATTTCAACAAAGATAGGCAACTCCAAGCAATGTGGAACATATTTCAACATTCACTAGCTGAACAAACGGTACACCAGTCACAGGCCCAACCAAACTCTGATATCAAATTGAAAAGCTTAACCCATACTTTTCCTTAAAACCCAAATATTAAGGAGAGGGAAACTAGAGCCTTATAACTAGTATAGATGGGGCAAATCCAAACAATGTGGGATATATTCCACCAAAATCATCAATGTCTCAATTTATAGTAGATTGCTCAGCTCTTGGCATGCTGTTACTGATGATGTCAAGGACCATGGTCCATGTATACATATATAGACTTCCATGGACTGTTGTTGCCATTTGTTAACTTTGATGGTACATGAAAAAAAAACTCCATAGTCCTCATTTGGGAATGAGACATCAATTCATAATGTGAATATCAGTGGACCATTGCTGATGATTGTGTTGGATGCAGAGAGAGTGGTCCTCGTCTTATTTCTGACATTTGTACACTCCAATGCTCTAAATCCTCTTGTGATGCTCAGATTTGTGTCCCACTCAATTGATCACCATTGTTATGACCAAACATGTATTTTCAGATTTTTGAAAATTCAAATGAAATAATGTTTTATTCAAATTGAAAGGTTATGATTATTGAGAATTGGTGGAAATCATGTCTCTTGATTGTCAACAAATAAAAAAGAGGGATCCAAATACAGATTTCTCACTTCGAATTTCTTCCATTCTCTCTTTGTTTTCTTTCAGTCTTACACGCAATTCGTGTAAAGCGTTCTTGAAAGAAACTTCAAATTTGTGATCTGCAGCATGATGGCTTGCTTTGAATCTGGTAGCAAACTCTTTCGAGTGGGGCAATTTTTACTTAAGTGTCTAAAACACGCCTCAAAGGTAGTGTGGTAGAGGTGGAGAAAGTGTGGTGGCGTTGATAAGACTTTAGTCTAAAAAACATTTTACACTTTTCAGAATTGGAAAACACTTTTTGCCCAAATAAACTTATTTTTTGCTGGTTATAGAAAAATTTTCCATTGCCTTTCATTTGCCGTCATACTAAAAGTTAGAAAATACAAAATATGTTTTCCGCAAGAAAAAAAAAATTGGGCCAAAACTAACAAAGTACAAATAAGAAAATCAAACTAGAATGAGATTCCCATGATATGTTTTTCATTTCTCTTTTGTTTTATTTTTACTTGATAGATCTAAGATTTGAACATAACCTAAATGTGTTGCTATGTCAAGTATAGTTGATGCTGTGAAGTTGAGTCTGCCTGGGCTTCTCCACAGTTCTGTTTGTCTTGATTCTTCTTTGCAGTTTGTGCTATTTCTTTTTGGTCGATCTGTTTCTCTTCGCTTTTATCTCTATTTTGTTCAAACAAAAACAAAAAAACAAAACAAATAATAAAAGAGAAAGCTAAGATCTTGAAACTTATTGTACTGTCAATTGTTTACTTGATATTGAGTCTCATATGGGCTATGTACTGATTTCATTTGCTGATTTGTTGATGCTATGGGAAGGGGATTCCAGGGTTGTCATGGCCCTCTTGATATTTTAAGAGTTTTTTTTATTTTATATTGTAACGGTCTATTTGATTGAACTGATTGTAGCATAGGATTGAAATTATTAATTCATGAGACTTACATTTCAGTGTTTAGTAACAATTTTTGTTATTCAGATTAGATTTAAATGGATATTTTATCCAATAAAATTGGTGAATTTTTTTAATCTTACAACTAATAATACAAAATAAATATATAATTGGAATTATATAATTTCATAGTCAATGCAAAACAGATGTGGATAAGAGGGGATTATTCATTCCACTAACTTAGCTAAATAATGAATCTTACACTAATCTCATGAATTTTTTTCTCTCATTATTAATTCTACTAATTAAGCATAGTGTTAAGAATTTGATCTCTTGCACTATAACCAATGATATTTCTCCTGCCCTCCTTTGATCTTAAAAAAGTTTGTGTATTGTATAGCTAAAAAAAACTTGCAACTTTCTTAATATAAGGGCTCTTTTATATTATAATCAATGATATTTCATTATTCATATTTTAGTGTTAATTTTTTTTAAAATAAAACTTTGGTACGTATTTTAAACTTACATGATGTGGCGTAGGAAATTCGATAACTTTATATTTTAAGGAAAAATAATATGGGTAGTTATTTGATGATTCTACATCCATTGTTATTGTAGCTAAAGGGTTGTTCATTGTCATGTTTAAATTAAGTCATACAGTCATATTTTATCATTAATGTACACATGATATGAATGTACAAAACAACTTTTTTTTATTATTATTTTTTTAATGTTTTTGCATGAAATGTTCTAATCAAATCTTGGCCTCCTAAGATGAAATTTTGGTTTCAGCCCCAGATTCCAGCACTTCCCATTGTTGCCCTTGGTTTCTTGTTATATGGATTTGGAGATTGATGTTTTCCCGTCTTTCGGGTAGTAATACCAATTACCTGGTAAACTCACTCCAATTTCTTATGTACAAACATAATGTGCAGGAATCTATAAGCGAGTAACAACTTGTTGGTCTCAATTCTCACTTCTTTTTTTGTGTGTGTCTATGAACAAGCAAAATAATCAATGATATTTCATTATTCATATTTTAGTGTTAATTTTTTTTAAAATAAAACTTTGGTACGTATTTTAAACTTACATGATGTGGCGTAGGAAATTCGATAACTTTATATTTTAAGGAAAAATAATATGGGTAGTTATTTGATGATTCTACATCCATTGTTATTGTAGCTAAAGGGTTGTTCATTGTCATGTTTAAATTAAGTCATACAGTCATATTTTATCATTAATGTACACATGATATGAATGTACAAAACAACTTTTTTTTATTATTATTTTTTTAATGTTTTTGCATGAAATGTTCTAATCAAATCTTGGCCTCCTAAGATGAAATTTTGGTTTCAGCCCCAGATTCCAGCACTTCCCATTGTTGCCCTTGGTTTCTTGTTATATGGATTTGGAGATTGATGTTTTCCCGTCTTTTGGGTAGTAATACCAATTAACTGGTAAACTCACTCCAATTTCTTATGTACAAACATAATGTGCAGGAATCTAAAAGCGAGTAACAACTTCTTGGTCTCAATTCTCACTTCTTTTTTTGTGCGTCTATGAACAAGCAAAAATCGTTAAAAATTTTCTTTTTAGAACAATGGAAATTAAAATTATGCAAACATTAACGATTAGGCAATTGTGAACTGAAGCACAAAACATCATGCAAAGACACTCCTAACACTAATCACCACACATGTTATAGTCCTCACACACCTAGCTTCTTTTCTATTACCTCCGATCACTGTCAGATTTGAACCTCACCAAAAAAAAAATGGATCTTTGTAGCAATGTCGGGATGCAAAATCCATATCCACTTTATTTAAGATCACTTAGGCCATCCCTTGTTCTTCTGGTTTTTTGTTACTTCCTTGAGTTGATCCATGTTATAAGTGACAGAACACAGTAACCTAACAATTCCTCAATGATAGAAAATGGGCAAAAGGCTTCCTTGTCTTCCATGTCCCCCACATCTCATGCACCATGTCTGCTTCTTTCTTCACTGCGGATAAGTATACATATTATATATATAGGTCTTTAGTGAGTGTATATTGAAGTACCATAGCTGCCTAAACCGAAATTATATTTTTGATTCCGTGAAAGATAATCAATGGATTCAAACACATCATCATCAGGATACTTTCTAAACCATGAAAATCTTCACTCGGTTTACTATGAAGCCAAGGAGGGGGATGGAATAATTGACTTGGGACTTAGTCTTAGGACCTTGCAGCCTCAAGCTTATCATGCATCTGCTCATGGTACCGGTACTTCCCTTCTTACCCTTTTCACTCTTTCCAGTTTGGCCTCATTTGGCAGCTCGCTTTAAGCCGACTTTTGTCTCAATTTGTTCAATATTTAAAATAAAAAAATTGTGCCAATTCTTTTTACTTTTTAGATTTGTCAACAACCTTGAAAATTAAAATAATAATAATAATAATAATAGTAAAAGAGCCCACTAAAGACAAAAACAAATATTTTCTATCAAAAAAACCTCATAAATTTGCTTTTTTCATATATGGTGGATTTTTTTTTAGAACTTCTCCATTTTTTAAAATTTTCAAGATCATCTAAGTCTAAAGGGATAAAAAAAAAAGTAAAAAAATTGAGCATTTATTGAAAAAAGTTCACTAAAAGAAAAACTGGTTTAATTCCTAGTGAGGTTGTATCTATACAGGTAGAAATTTTTAAACAAATAATTAGGATTTCATGGAGTAGTATAAGAAAATATTGTGCAACAGCTGAGAACCATTGATAGTATAAACAAACTAGGAAGAATTTAACTGTGATCAAAAGAAATCGGAGGTGAGAAAGAAAATGTTTCGACCACATTTTATTTTTGGTAGTGAAATGCATTCTAGAAAACATAAGCCTCATATGGAGAACCACATCTTTATGATTAATGTAAAACTGTGAAAAATGAGATTTAAGGGAGATGATAGAAAGGGTGACGAATTCTTTAATGATGCTAACAATCATTTCAATATGCTAAACAAAATTTTAATTTCAACCTTTGTGAGGCCAGATGATTATGGAGACCTGATAGACTGGCAAGAGTTGAATCCTAAGTTGAAAAGTTCAAAAATGGGATATAAGAGAAAAATCCGAGAAAATTATGACAATGAAACAGAGGGAGTTCAAAGCAAAGAACGCGGGACTTATGTGAAGGTCAATATGGATGGGGTCGTTGTTGGCCGGAAAATATGCATCCTTGATCACCCGGGTTATTCATCACTTGCACTTCAACTTGAAGACATGTTTGGTAGGGTATAAAATCTTTATGAGATTGAAATATCCATGTAAGAAGTTAATAATAACATAATTAAGTTTGATTTTTGTTTAGGTAGACAATCCATATCTGGGTTACAGTTATTCCAAGTTGGGTCAGAATTTTCCTTGTTTTACAAAGACACAGATGGGAATTGGAGGCCAGCTGGTGATGTTCCATGGAAGTAAGTTATTTACTGTCATTATTTCTAACCGTTTAAATTGATCAATAAATTGATCATTTTACTAGAACTTGGATTGTGGTTCAATTTAATATGCTAATCGGCAGTTTAATGATTCTGAACAGCAAGTTTGTAGATTGCGCGAAGAGGCTTAGGATTGTGCCCAAGAATGAAGCTTTTGTTCCCTCATCATCGGCATTTGCTTAATCTCTCTCCCTCGTATTGTTTGACAATGTCTTTTATTTAACTTTGTAATTTGATGATTTCAATTTAAATGCAAGCTTTGTACCAATGGAAAAGGAATTTTTAATTTTTGAATATGTAGCGAAGTAAATATAATCACAACTTCGTGTTGGTTGTGTTGATCTTCTGAAATTTTTTGAATTAGTACGACACACTATAGAGATCATGAGGCTCTAAGCAGGGACGGAACTAAGGCAAAATTATGGGAGGCCATGGCCCCCTTATTTCTGTGAATATTATTATTTGTCATAGAATTTTAAAAATATATTTGTCATTTTATATATAAAATGGCTCCCAATACAAAAATCTTCTTTCATCTTGAATTCGCTTTCTATTTTACATCAAAAAAAAAAAATTATTCGTCCTATTAGCAATTGCTTCTATGGTATTTAATTTTTTTTTATGTATATATAATTTATATATCATATATACATACATGTGTGTTTTATGTATACGGTGAAAAAATTATTTTTCTTGTAACCCCTCTAGTAATGAAATGTTGATTCCGTTCCTGACTTTAAGCAACTTAACCATGGGTTCTGCACTTGGTGATGCTTGAAAAATTATATTAGCAAATTATTACTGGTCATGTACACACACATAAAAATCAAAAATTAAAAATTAAAGTATATATATATATAAATAGGCAGTGGCTTTGGTCCAGTCCAAGATCGGACTGGACCGTGCTATTGGGTCCGTGAGGGCTCACCACGGATCCCGTTTTGAAAATCCTAACCGTTCAATGTGTAAAACTCGTTGAGTACTATATGCCTGGAAAAAATCACGTTGATCGGATATCGATAGCTATGTGAACAAAACAATTTTTTATCAACCGTTAATTTTTTCACCGTCCATTTTTTTTTATACAAAACTGATTTGATCACACAGCTATTGATATCCGATCAACGTGATTTTTTGTAAATATATATTACTCGACGAGTTCTACACATTGAACGGTTCAGATTATCAAAACGGACCCAAAAAATGAGCCCCGTGGGCCGAACTGGACGGGTCCAGTCTTGATCTCAACTTGAGACAAGCTAGACCCAAATAAAAATAAACAAAATCATTATGTGGCAAGTAGACCTGTAAATGGATCGGATTCAGATCGGATCTGTCAAAATCTGATCCGATTAAGACAAACCCCAATCCGATCCGAATCCGTTTAGTCTATATCCGATTATAGATATCCGAATCCGATGATTTCGGATATCCGAACCGATCTATTTATTTATTTATTGAGCTACAATTTTATATAATTTGATTTTTTTTTTTTTTTCATTTTGTGTTTTTTTCATTCAAAATGAGAGTAATCGGATCGGATTATCGGATTATCGGATCGGGTCAGATTTTTGCATATTCAATCCGTTTAATAAACGGATTAAGCGGATTCGGATTATCGGATCGGATTTTTTATAAACGGATTCAGATTATCGGATCAAATTCAGATTAAATCTGATCCATTTACAGCCTGGCAAGTTTTGTTTGAACAATTATATGAGGGGGACTCGGGTGGCTTGGCTTGACTGGAATGTGATGGTTTGAGCATGAATGGCGGAGTATGGAGCCGAACAAGTACAAAAACGTAGCAGTAAATGTATGTACTTAGCTAGCCACGTTCGGACAAAGAAAAAAGCTGTATCAAATGGAAAGTCATATTAACAGAGACAGTTAAAATCTGAAAGGAAGGGACAGATCAAATTGTTCTTATGATGAGATGAGATGAGATGTTACCCATCATTCAATTTGATTCGTTTGATCTCAGTTCCATTCCGACCAACATGTGCTCCGTACGACTTCCATAATTCTGGCCACTCTAACCTCAGACCAAGTATTCCTTCTCATCTCAATGTGGGGTTCTCAATCTAGGAAAATTCAATGGAACACATCCTATTTCTATATACATTTTTTTTGTTTGAAAAGAGCGTGATAGTTCGAATTGGAGGGATTTGAATGGCTCAAATGGATATTGGCCGGGCATTCGCTTGGATGACCGGCAGGACGTCCGCTCAAACGACCGAGTGAAAGATTGTATACCGCTATTGTCACCTTTGTCAACTGCGATTGTCAGCCTCCTTGCCGGACGACCGGCAAAGTGAATTTCGAACCATTCGAGTCAATCTTATATTCGAGCTACCAAGTATTGCTCTTTTTGTTATGACAATCGTTTTTGGTTATGATTTATTATTCTTTTAATTATAATTTAAAAATTCTTTAGTTGTACACCAACTTAATTATTGGGTGTTTAAAGTTTATTTTTATGATCTTTTTATTTTTTAAATTTTTTTAGGAGTTAAAAAAAGTTAATAATGTGTTTGAAAAAGGAAGATTCCCTCCGGTCCAAAATATGGATTAGAGGGGGGTTGTTTGGGCCCATGAGGCCCATCACAAGCTTCATTTTGATAATTCGAACCATTTATTTTGTCAGGTATTTCGTGTATTTCATCCCAAAAAAAAATTAGATCAATCCGATAACTATAACTTATTCAATTTGTCATCAAAAAAATGTGGTTCATTTTTTAAAAACACAATTATCGTTCATTTTTTTAGTAAAAAACACAGTAAATTGAACAAGTTACAGTTATTATATCGTCCTAATTTTTTTGGAGAATGAAATACATGAAGTATCTGACAAAATAAACGTTTCAAATTATCAAAACAAGACTCATGATAGGCCCCACAACCCCAAACAATCCCCTCCAGCCCAAATTTTAGATTGAAGGAAATCGTCCTCCTTTGAAAAATTATTGACAAAAAGCTTTTATTTGTTTGTGAATGAAAAAATTAATGTAACATTTGACTTTTTTAGTTCATGGTAAATAGCTTGGAGGATTTTTAAATTTTTAACTTTTTTAAGATTAGAAAGTGCTAAAGACTTATAATTTAGACATTTTAATTCATCCACAATATGTGCTAAAAAGTTGGGCAAAAGTTGGGCCTTATATAATGCAATGTATCACAAATCAAAAGTTGACACTTGCATCATATCACATCATTGTAGGTCAAATTATGAGAATTTTTGTAGAGATCTCAAACATTGTCAGTGTAATTATGTCAGAAGAGAGGTTAATTGTGTTTTCTTCAAACCTTAAGGGAGGTGAGTGTAATTAACCTTAAAAAAAAAACAGCAATTGTAAGTTACAGGTAATCTTGAACCATGATTTCTCTCAAATGTTATGTGTTCTACCATTCATTCTTTCACAACCAAACTCTAGTTAATTGGAGAGCAGCCAGACACTTTATTATTCTAGTTGATGATTGTGATGGTGTCTCCTGCCCAATCGCCTGTGCTTTTTTGATACAGAACAGATGAGAAACCACTTTGAAATCTGAAGCACATATGTATCTATACAAGGTCTGGAAAAGTAAAAAATAAGATTTGGAGAACAAAGTTGGAATGCAAGGAAAGCCTGTGTGAACTTCTCACACTAACTGAAGAGACGGTACTGCACAAGAAACTATGGGCAATGAGTGCAATCAAGACACGAATGATAGAAAGAAAGAACCAATCAGTAATGCATTACTGAAAAAACAACAAAACAAAAGTTCACATCTCCATGGTTGGATAGAACCCTGAATTCTGTGCATCAGCCACTAGCTTCTCTAGTGACCATCAATATTCTAACATTTTCCAAAGGCAGAGTGCCACAAATTATCATTTTTACTACACTTTTTTTTTGAAAAAAAAAATTATTCACACATTGCATTTTCTGAACTCTTTTTTCTGTAATTTTCCTGGGTGCGTAGCATTACTGTTACAAATAAACCCTAACCTCCTAATGAGGTACAGCAGGGAAGGAACTATTTGAAAACCATATGGACGGGCATGACATCCCAGCAAAAATTCATTGTATGTGTAGCTTAAACCATTCAAATGTATGATATGTTTCATACATGTGTTACATACAGAGTGGCCCCCCCTATCATTGAACAACATTTCCTCTTCACTTTTTCTTCAACTTAAAGCTGTAAAGGTACATTAACTTTTTAGTCCCTGTGAACATGTTGTCATGACATGCTACTTTTAAAAAGCATATAAACTGTTTTCAAAGAAAAATGAAAATTGTTCATCAAATGAAAAACTGCTTCATAAGGTGTACAGTAAATGATAATATTCTTGTTCATGTTTTGGCCTTGTGAAGATGAAATTCGAGTTTCGTCCCTTAGGTACAGGGAACTCTTGACCAACAGACTAGCCGCGTTGGTTAGCCCTAAATTATTTGACAGGTCTATCTTAACAAAAATGCTCCAAAAGCATTATACTTCCTAGATGTAAAGAAGAAAACTTTATGATCTGTAGATGATCTCCATGATGAAATGGTTTCCTACAACGTAACCATGAAAATTACTAACGGAGGTCAATGGGAGGGGACCGAGGTCTATGATGGTGGTTCACATGTATTCAATAGTTCATACATCACTTCTCTAGCTACTATTTATTTCCTGGCTAATAGGTCTGAGCACAGTTATGGAAATTGAAAACAACAAACAAATAATTATCAGCATACTAACAGAAACAACATACAGACAAACAATCTGGCAATAAAAGCAAGCAAGAAGAAGACATTCTTGCTCATATCACCACCCCAGTTCACAACAAAAACAGTTACAACCTCTTACCTCATGGTCTTAAATATTGTCGTCACCTGTTCTCGTCCTTTTCTCTGAAAAGTCCAATTAATCCATCTTGTTGAGCCCTTGATCATCAGTTCTAGCACAACTTTACGCTTAATCGACAGAACAAGATTTTTCATAGCTAGGTGTTGTTATTTCAATCACTGGACACCACCAGTCGTTCCAAAGCATCTGAGACATGCCTCATTGTAGGTCTCCTTTCAGGACTAGTCTGGATGCATGCCATTGCGATCTTCAAAACCGAAATCATCTCCTCTTCCTTATCCAAATGTTCAGCTAAGTACGGATCCAAAACGTCTGAAAGTGGCTTTTTCTCTTCAATGCATAGTTGAATCCAGAGAACGAGATCCATTTCTGAGGTACCCACTTGGACTAATGGCGTTCTTCCGGTAATCATTTCTAGTAAGATCGCCCCATATGAGTAAACATCCCATTTTTGTGATGGTTTGACCAATTTCAGTGCCTCAGGAGCTTGATAATAGGATCCAAAGTTTGCAGCCGAATTGAGTGCCCCAACCTCGGATGGGACATTGCTTTGTTGCCTCTGATGCAGCTTCTCAGAAATGATTCGACTTGATTGCAGGGTTGGGGATCCTCCGGCTATATTAGCAAGCCGTCCAAGTCCAAAGTCAGAGATTTTGGGCTCCATGTTTGCTCCAAGCAATACATTGCTAGGCTTTAGGTCTCCATGGACATACTTTTTGGGACTGTACTCGTGCAGATAAACCAAACCTTTTGCAATTCCTGTCATTATATTCAATCGAACTGGCCATGGTAAAGGTGTAAAGGATACCATTCCAGCTTTCCCTGTCAATATTACAAGATTGGAACAATCAAAACACCTCTAAAAAAAAAATGAAAAAATTAGAAAGCCTAGTGCATGAAGCTCCCCTACTGCAGGGTTTGGAAGGGTCAGATGTAAAAGTAGTAAATAATAACTGCAACAAGTAACAAAAAGTAATAACAACAACAAAACTTTGGACAAGAGGTTTTGGTGAAGCTTACCATGAATTGCAGTTACAAGGTTTCCATTCGGTATATAGTCATAGATGAGCAGCTTCTCGTCGACAGACCAGTAATAGGCTCTAAGAATTACAATATTAGGATGCCTTAGCTTCCCAATCGCTTCCACCTCCGTTTGAAATTCTTTAAACCGCTGAGAGCCTCCTTCTCCCAATCTTCTCACGGCCAATGTAAGCCCATCTTCGAGCACAACTTTATAAACAATCCCAATCCCGCTCTTTCCTAGCACAAAAGCCGATGCTTTCAAAAGCTCATCTAGATCAAAAGCCACTTGCGTATCCAACGGTACAAGATCATACTGCTCCACATTTTCTGATAAAGTTTCAGATTCATCCTTTCCAAAGCACAAACACTCTCTCCTTCCTTTCCCTCCCTTCTCAAAACCGTAACCATTTTCTTCCTTTCTCTTGCTCCAAGGACAAACCCTCGAATAGCAATACGAGAACAATAGCCCAATTAGGCATATTCCAACCACATCACATACAATAATTGCAATTACAGCATGTTTACTAAGCCCTTTTCCTTCCCCTCTTTCCACTTTTATCGCCAGTATTCTGAGGCGGGTAGTTACTTGGCAAGAAAGGATACGAGGAAGGTGGGCTCAAACCCTCGTCTGATGAACATTGGTTTTTCAAAGGAGGGCCACAAAGACCAGGGTTTCCAATAAAGGCCGTTGGTCCTCTGTTAATAAGAGCACCATTTTGTGGTATAGGACCACTCAAATGGTTGTAAGTGAGGTCAATATAGACCTTCTCAGGAAGATCACCAAGGCTAGCTGGGATTGAACCACTAAACACATTGTGAGACAAATCAACAGTTCCTTGCAAATTAGACAAATTCCCAATGTCATTAGGAATCGGACCACTGAAGTTATTGAACGAAAGGTTCAGTATTCCGAGCGAAACCAACTTAATCCCAAATCCATCCGGGAGAGGACCGGTGAAATTGTTTCGACTGAGATCAAGACTTCTCAATCTCTTGCACTGAATTAATGATTTGGGTAATGACCCATTAAAGAAATTTTGTGCTAAACCTAGGGTTTGAAGATATTGGAGCTTCCCAATCTCAGAAGGGACAGGCCCAGATAAGGAATTTCCTAAAAGAACCAAGCTTTGCAACCCCTGAGCTCCAAAGAGCTCAACAGGTAAGCTTCCAAAGAACTTATTGTTCCTTAAGTTTACATGCCTGAGTTCAGAGAGAGATCCAAGTGAAGGAGCAATAAACCCATAGAGTTTCTTCTTTGGAATGCTAACAGAGACAACTCTCTGGTCTTTGCATGTTATGCCATTCCAAGAACAAGGGTTTACATCAGAGTAGTTCCAGTTGTTCAATGACCCTTCTGGGTCTTCTGTAATGGAATGTTTTAGTGACAATAGAGCAAGTCCTTCATCATTCAAAGAACCCACTAAAGATTGAGAGTTACAAAGAAGTAAAATGAACAAAAACAGAGCTAGCATTTCCCAAAAACTAAGAAGAATGGAAAGATCGGTGTCTCAGTGCATACCTTTCTTCACCAGAATGCCAAGTGATGCAGAGAAAGCTAAGGGAGAAACAATGAGGTTCTACAGAGAGAGAGAGAGAGAGAAAGAGAGAGAGTATGAAAGCTTTGACAGTAATGTGAGAAGAATGGTTAAAGTTGGTTTCAGCAAAGCAAGACCTTGGGAAAATAAACTGTTTGCTTGCAATTAAAATTTTTTAAAAAAATATATATATAAAAAAAAAGTTGAAGAGAGAGAGAGAGAGAGAGAGAGGGGTTGGTGGGAGAATCCAATTGTATCAGCAACATTCCATCAATTTCCTGGAAATTTATCGCGATATGATCCGAGGGGAGAAAAAAATGAGAAATTACATGCAGGCAAAAATTAAAGAAAAAAATTACAAAAATATGAAAATACAAGTAGGGGGTGCGTGGTGCGGGTCGGTGCGATTTGAGAGAAAAATAGAAATCGTATGGCGGGTGACGGATTGATAAAAGTGTCACTAGAATTTGTCATTTTTCTTATCAAAAAATGACGGTTCAGTTGACAAATAAGTGCGGGTTTGCCTTAGTGGTTCGGGCAGATTGGCGGTTTATAAAAAAATATAATTCAAATTACAAAACTTAAATCAAAGAATAAAAAAAAGATGAGAGATACCATGATGTTAAACATCTTGCGAAACTTTCTTCTGATGCAGCAAGTGTAGCAACAACATGATAATATCAACGACTATGCCATCAGTTCATTACAAGCATCTGTGGAAGCTACAATGATGAAATACAATACATAAAATTAATATCATTCAGGGTTTACAATATATTGAAAATGTTTACTGTTGAAAAGTATTTAGATTGAAAAGTGAGCTGATGCAAGTTTGCAACATGGCCAGAAAAAAAAATTTGAAAAGTGAATTAGAATCCAACTTTATTTTGGATTACTAACATCTTGAATTCCCCTCAAGCAGTAATGTAATACTATATTCTAAGGTATAGAACAACAAGCAAACTTAAGTAAAAAAGAATTTTTTAAATCTTATAAAACATGATTTAATAGCGATGCAGGTCGGTGCGGTTTTGAAGAAAAATAGAAATCGACGGATTGATAAAAGTGTCACTAAAATTTGTCATTTTTCTTACCAAAAACCGGCGGTTCGATTGACAAATAATAATGAATTTTCTTGGTGGTGCGATTCGGTGCGGTTTCAGCGATTTTGACGATATTATGCACGCCCCTAAATACAAATGTGTTCATGATAAGATACAAATAAAAAATTGTAAGGCTATAAATGTCACTTGCACCTCTTTAAATGTTTGTATTTTTTTTTTTTTTCTAATTTTTAGCTGTATGCAATTTTCCTTCACGAAAAGTCAATGTGTTGTAAGGTCCAGGTTGTCTTCATGGTCCTGAACCGTTAAAGACAAGGTATGATTATAGGGATGTATTAGAATTTGTTGAGGGAATTACTGGGAAAAAAAAAATTTATAAGTATATGAAAATGTAAATATATTTGTGATAGGATGTAAATAAAAAACGTAAAAATAAAAGTGTGTTTATAATTGAGTGTAAATAAAAAAATATAAAAATACAAATGTCGGTTACATCCCTATATATATTGTTAATTTTTTTCTCCAACTATTAGCTACATGAAATTTCTCCAAATTTGTCACAATACAGATTTACATGAATGGATCGTTAGGGGTTGTTTGGGATGTCTTAAATAAGTGTACTTTTAAATTTTTAAACTAAAAAGTTGAGAAAAAAATATGATTGTTTGGGTTAACTTTTTAACTTTTTATGAAAAAATGTGTATTAAAAAATTATATAAATTGATGTGTAGAAAAAAATTAGAATTAAAAGTTATACAGTCATAATTTTTTACTCTTGATAAATAATAATAACTTTTTAACTTTTGAAGTAATTTTTTATTACCACGTGTCAAACTTAACCTTAGACATTAGACTAGTAATGATCATGCCACATGCCACGTTTTTTTAATCCTTAGATATCATATGTGAGATTGTGATAAACGACCGGTTGAGATCTTACTCTTTGGTGGGGCCTTTGATATACCGCGCCTTTGTGATTGTCCAACCATTTGTAAGCAAAACAATTTGTAAAATGAGACACAGAATATATAAATGTGAAATAAAAATTATTTATATTCGTAATTATGAACATTTTTTATAATTTGAACTGTTTGATTTTGTAAAATTTTTTGTATATGTATGGAAAATTTTCCGACCACACTGTCCGCTTAGTAACCAGCTGGAGAGCACTGGCAGAATAGATGGCCTCTAGCTAACCTGCAACAGAAAGAGAAGTCTCCGGTGATGGTTCAACCACCCGGGGGCACTCCGACGATCAAGTCAGTATATCTCTCTAAGATAAATCAAGTGCTAAATTCACAAGCTTAAGCATAAAAAGCATACCTTAGACCCATGAGGTGCCTCTTTTTTATAGCCAACATAAACCTAATCCCAATAGAAGCCTAACTTCTATGGACTCAAGATTACTGCTAATCTTGGACTCCCAGTAAGATTAGGATAAACTCTCTAAGAGTCTTATCTTAATACAAACTGAAGTCTTCTCTCATCCTAGGACTCTTGTCCCTCATCCAGGTTGAGTTCCCTTTTCATTCTAGGACTCTTGTCCCTTATCCACTTATCTCGGATTCCGATATCTTCGGAGATAACCTCGGCCTTGCCGAGATCACCTCGGCGTCACGACCAGGACACGTGGCACCTCGGCTGACACGTCGGCGTCACCTTGCCACGTGTTGGTACTCAGAAAATATATCCCCACACAAATCAATTAATATAGTTATAAATAAATGCACATTATATCTCTTAGTGATCTACCACTTGACTAGTCACATTAGGTATGTCATTTTTTTAACATCAAGTAAATTGAAAATTACCTAAAAATACACTGTTCGTTCATCTGTGCCCCTCTGTCCGAGATCAAACTCGCCGACCTCAAAGTTCCCTGGACCTTACTGTCCACTTGTGTCAAGTACCAAGATTCATGCCTTCCAAGCTACTTGAGATCGCTCCTCCTAGCCGAGGTTTATGGTTCCATCAATTCGTAAACTCCAGAAGCTTTGCAACTGCGCATGAGCTATCATGTATACACTCCTCAACCGTTTTGTTCATGCGTTCATCCCTTACTGGCTTGTACGCGCTTATCAAGTTTGCGTCGTTTCTGCGTACGCTACTTGACAGGTACGTCACCCAAGGTACAATTCCTTTGTCGCCTTTTTGAGTTTTCAACAAAGCTTTCTCTCTTTCTTCTCATTTTGCATTCTTTCATGTGCTTTATGTGCTAAAACTTTTCTCTTTCCAAAAAATATCCCCAATCCTTCATCGATCTCTTTTCAAGCTTTCTGCAACTGCTCCGTTCACACTCTCCGGTGGGTTTCCTGATTTCCAGTCACCTATTTGACTCCGGCGATCTTCATATCGGCGTTCATTTGGTAGGTTCATAAATTCTTTACCTGCTATTAAGCTCAATCTTTCATAACTCTTCTGATTTACTTTGAATCTGTTTATTTGCCATATGTTGCCTTCTGTTCTCGTTTGTCTTCAAGTTTTTGATTTCTTATTGCTAAAATGCCTGGAACTGTTCTTGTCATATCCGTTTTTTGTTGCTAGCATCATGTCTGGTTCATTACTTTCTTATTCTTCACATACTTACTTAGTGCCTGTGTACTTGGCTTTATTCTTTGAACTTTGTCATCTTCTTGACTCTGTTTTTTCTTTTCTTATTTTATTTCCAGATTCTTGCCTTCGTTTCTGTTTTCTGTATAGTCTTAGAACCACGTCCCTTCTTGAAATTTTTGCTGAGATAATGGTAGAGAAGCTCTTCCAGCTGACTGCCAATGCTTTTTTGCTTCTGAAAAATGTCTGTTGTTGGCCGATGTTAACATTCCTTACTCCTTGATTATCATTCCTTCTTCCACTGTATTTGATAGCCATGTCGAGTAATTGACTTCTCGAATGGCCCTGGTCTCCAGAAGTCTGTCTACTTCTTCCTCTACTGCTTCGACTTATATCAACGTCGGTCCTCTTGCTCGTGGGATTTACAGGTTTGGCTGACCTGTCGACGTTCAGTTGGTGGCAAGTGACCTCGGGGTCAATGCTAGGCATTTCATAAGGTGTCCAAGCAAATACCTCAATGTTTGCTCTAAAAAAAAAACTTCCAATTCTCTTTATTCTTCTTCGGCTAAGCCTGAGCCGAGAAGAAAGAGGCGTTCTTCATCCCCCTCCTGGACGAGGATTTTCCTCAGTGCCTCTTCACTCTTCTCGGTTGGATCCTTGCTGACATCATCTAGGATCTCTATGTCCTCGTTTTCAATCTCTGCCTTCTCTGGTTCTCGAATGCTGCAGGTGGATTTCATTGCTGCCATGGAGCAATTCTCCGCCTATAGTTGATCCCCTTTGACTTCTTCAATCCCATGTTCTGTTGGGAACCGCAGTAGTTGATGTAACATTGAGGGGACTGCCCCTATTACATGCAACCATGGCCTTCCCAAGATGATACTGTATGGCGTAGGCGTGTCAATTACTATGAATTCTGTCTTGATCTTCTTCTAACTGCTCTTGCATGATTCTATACTTAGAATATTTTGCATGTCTTACGTACTTTTCTTTCTTTGTGCAATCTTCTCGAGGTGACACACCTTGGTTATGCCACCTGACGTTTTATTTCGGCAAGTACTTGTCCTGTAAATTGCTTACAAATTTCAACAAGGATAAACATATACTAGTTTAATCTCAACTTCGTAAACTTTTCTTAAGTTATAACAAGTGCTAAACAATGATCTACTTGTAAATTACTACAAATTTCAACAAGTGAAGGTAAACAATGATCTCGGCTTAACTTCAACTTGTAAATTGCTACAAATTTCAACAAGCAGTAAACATCATCTCGGTTTAACCAACTTGTAAATTGTTACAAATTTCAACAAGTGGTAAACGCATTCTTATTCTCTCTGCCCCCCTAGTGTGAACTTAAAATCCACTTGGGTTCTCATCATACATGTAGTTTCGACCTTGTCGCCGAGGTTTAATTCAAGCCAAGGTTGTTGGCCTTGGTTTCTCTATTGATCTTACTTGGCTCCAACCTGAGTTTGATTTTTGGACTCGAATCGGCGAGCCGTTTCTCTTTTCTTGTTCCGACGCCTTTGTTC